AAGAGCAGAATCACGAGATGCAAGGGTTCAGAGCTGTTGATAAACACAGCGACTTACACCACCTATCCCATGCCGTCATACCCACACAGGTGGACAATCCTTGGCTCTCAAAAACGGGATACAGATGCAAGAGAACAGATGCCATGGAAAGTCCCCAATGGTACACGACATGCTGTCGTCTTCCTGCGACTGCCGAGAAAAATGGCCGAAAACAAGGTTGTCCGACGGAAGCAACAAGCCTCTGCCCGACGTCTCACGCCTAAACTCCCCGACTCAGGTTGCGCTGGCGTGTCTTCGTTGCTCTCGTACACACACGATATCTCATCACCGGAGCCAACACACCAGTTCAACAGAGCAAGTGGAAAACGCAAAGACCTCGGGGCGGCCCCTGACCATGCTTGTCGTCCACGGCAAGAAGCTCGCCTTCGCGGCTCTCGCGTTGACACTCGGCGGTTGGTGTTGACAACTAGAAGCTCGTTGCCGTGCACCCTCTAGAATTAGCGGGCACGTAACAAGCGACGGAAAGAGCTGCTGGCTTTCTTACTGGCCCAACTCACACAGAGCACAAGAGGCGGCCATGTTTGTTAAGCGCGAGTGGCTCAGTTGATCTGTAGATCTTGTGTCCAATCGGCTTCCCTGAAAGGGTCTGCGGGGGCGTCAACGGCCCTGTGGGGAAACAGGGGCGATCGACTTGGACGTTGCGTGCCGCAAGCGACAAGGGCATCCGGCCCCACTTTCCATGCTTCCCTAGGGTAATCGTCCGATTTCCCCCTCACCAAAGTGCTTTGGCATCTACATAGTACTGCGAGATGCAGCAAATGTTTTTGATATGTCTGCCATGAAAGGGACACGGTTGAACTGCAAACCCGCAAAGCAAAGCCACGACGCTACCGATGCTGAATGCCGCTCTCCTGCGCTGTCACCAACAACACCAGCTCCTTGCCTGCCAACTGCTTTGCCTGCCGGTTGTCGGGCCTCCTTTGCTGGTCCCCGAGGCATGAAACCGCTGAGGCCGATCACTGAAATGGATTTGATTATCTGGAGAGGAACCTGCCTTGCTATCGGCCGAGAGGCAGCCAGTCTATTTGAATAAGTGATAGATGACACACGATCTGGAGGACTGCTACTATGGCTACATTTTGGGCCTGAATAGACTAAGGGTATCCTTGATTCTATCTCGACGTGGCCGCATGTTTGGCTTCTTGTTAACTGGATATGGAATGTTCGATGCGTTCGCTTCTCCCTTTCAGGTTCACAGCCACCACGATGATGCAACACTGAATCTAGACAGGGGTAGGCAGCCATGCCCAGATATGATTTGTTACCGACAGCTTGGATCAGTGGCTCGTGCACTGCAGTAGTGCCCCAATACATGCAATTTCCTACCAGTGAGCACCACATTTCCCACTCCTCTGCTTTCATCTGCAAGGCGGCCGACAGCAATTGGCTGAGACATTTTGGCCCCCGGCTGCACTTGAGCAAACGACGTCTTGTCTTCTGTCAAACGTCAACGACCAGCACCACCACCACTTCCTCCACCAAGCTTCTAAACCTCATCATATTTGGGTACACCATCTTGTGCTCACCGGGCATGACCGAAATTTTCTCTCCATCATTATCATTTGCCTGCTTACTTTCTGTTTCTACATCATTCTTCTTACAGGTTCCAATGAGGCTGTGCGAGCTAGGTCTCTGCCAATGCGGCCACGGTCACAACGCGTCACAAAACGCAAGGCTGAGCACCATATCACAGCACAACCACTTTTCTACAACTCCACTTGAGCCTCTTCCTCACCAAATTCTGAAAAGGGATGTCGGCACCTAGACCAGCCCAATTGCTGATCCGGCATAGTCAAATGAGTTGTTAATGTCCATTGACCAATCACGATGTCTCCGGTATGCCACGGCACCACCAAGTCAACTATTAGCACCCACGAGGCTACCTCAGCCGTTTCAGGTCAGTGACCCGTCCATATTGTCTCATGCCTCGTTCATCTGTCCACCGAGAACCCATGACGGACTACACAATCTTCTCAAATTGGCCACTGGCCCGCCGACGTACATTGGATCCTACCCACGCGGCTGGGTCTCTTCTTTCACCCTTGGCCGTCCTCTATTCGTCCCTATGATATACCTCTTTGTATGCCTGGTTGCCTTGGCCATTCCCTCGCGAGATCGATGACTGACCCAGGTTTCTGCAGGTATGCTGCTTCCTCTAGACTGTGTCGGGCATGCAGCGCACCATACCATCCCCACCAAGGAAGGGAATCACAATACCAAGACTTGCCACCCCCCTCCCCTTCCACACTATGGTGGGAGGAGGGAACCTCCATCGATCCCCTTTCCAGGAAGTAAGACTCCACTCTCAAGATTCATGTAGGGCCAAGCTAATATCGACCAGTGAGGGTGGAAGAATTAGGAGCTCATACATTGCAATGACCGTCGTTCCAGGCACACCAACCCCATACCCACGACCTCGTCAAGAGGTGAATGCTCAGCCTCCGCCATAGTAACACCGGACCATTCCCTGATGAACAGCAACGAGATGACTCCACTCCTCTCCCGTACCGAGTGTTCTTGGGGCCCGGAGAGCTTCCGATATGCCCGTCGTCTTGTTTCAGAAGACACCCTCCCGTTGGTTACGACTTGGCTATCCACTGATCTGATCGCCGTCGACGACCGGAGCATAGCCACGGGCCAGATCAGGTTCCGCATCAGGTGCTTCTCGTGCATCCGCTCCTTACCCAAGGTGCCACCGGCTCGCACCTGCGTGCAAAGAGTCTATACGGGCCGGCAAATCACAGGGCTGGATAACGGCTCTCCTGTGACGGAGTAACCTGACTCTACTGAATATCGACAAAGGTCAGATCATCTACACGTCTGAGCGGCCGCAGAAGGTATTCTGTGAGTGATCTCACATCGTGGGGGGCAATGTAGCAGCCAGTTGCTGTGTTATCACCTCCTCTCTCACCTGCTGGGCTACCCCTATCTTGGAAATCAGGAGCCGTGATCACAGGAGGAGAAGCCACTGGTTCGCCCTATTGGTCAGCCTTTCAAACCAAGTGACGTCGACAAGGCTGATGAAGAAGCAGGTACCGTGACTGCAGCTGCATTTTCCTTGCCATGGGTTTCAAGGGGCTCTGAGATGAAGAAATCAGGGTGATCCACTTGATCGTCTGGGCTATGTGCAGAAGTGGTCCCGAGTACATGATCAAAGGTCACTCGCGCACCGCGCTACTTGCGTTGCCGTCCGGGCCGTCACTGCAGATGCTCCACAAGTTTCAATATCAGTTGGTGCTAGTCTACGCTGAAGCGATGATGAACAGCAGAGCACTGCCCGGATGTGCTCCACGCGTAAGCGGTAATTAGTGATGTTTACGATCCAACTGCAGATTCTTTGCCCCGAACGGGCAGATAGTGAAGACAAGAAAAGGGGGCATAGGGCTGAAGGGATGGGGGTTGGGAAGCGATACCGAGCATGGCGCAGTGTGGATGTCGTCTCGAGTAGACACGACAGTGATGGAGTGTTCCACAGTAGTGCTGATGAAGCGTCATGGATGGGGGTTGATACTAGAGACACACCATTGCACAGCCGACCTCCGTTTTGGCCATCCTCGATGAAGAAGTGCCCAGTTGAGAATCGTGCGCGCATGCTTGCATCGAAACGTTGGTGAGTCAAGAAACGGGCATGCTTGGATTGGGACGACGACAAGGCAACCAGGGTTCCTACCTGAATACAGAGCCCGTATTCAGGGAGTACCTGGCCGACAGACGTGCATATGACTTTTGACTGTGCCAGAAACTCAATATATCGATGGGGTGGTGGTTTTCCCAGCCTCACCCACATCATTTCAATTACATACGGCTCAGATAGGCATCAACTCCATATTTTTTATTATTTTAAAAGTCTATGCATAACTGTAATTGCCTGTTGTTGTTGTTGTTGTTGCTGCTGCTACTGTGAGTGTTGTGCGATGTTTGGACTCCATATGCTGTATACCTTATGTATGTCTGCCTGATAGGGAACCACCGGAGAGAAAAAAGGCTGTGCAAGAAAAACAACCTCTTCCATCCAACCTATCAACTTATACACATCAGCACAAGACTGTCTTCTCATCGACGCCACCACCACCACCACCACCACACTTGCGGCCGCAAATAACCCGCCACGGCTGCACCACAAAGCTCAGTCATCATCACTGCCCAACTCGACCACCACACACCACACACCATATTTGTACCACAGCCATCAAAACAAACACCTGATAGTTGCATACAAACACCTGTTTTTTTTGTTCAACTTTTTACTAATTCACCAACAAGACAGCAAGTAAAATTTGTCATGTTTTCCCCCTTGATTGATTTTTATGATACAAAATGATCATTACTACACAGCCACCCAAGTTCATCACCAATATCCCCTCCCTTCCCCAACCCGCCTCCCATCCATCCATCCCATTCCCTCCGAGCAAAAAAACAAGCAATCTCAGTTTATGTACCCCCTCCCCTTCTTTTTTCATACCCTTCCTCCCTTCCCATAGGCCCCACGCCTGATAATCTAAACAAGCAATGGCGGCGGTGATGGGAGTTCGTTTGTTGCGCGCGTGTTGTGTAACGGTATAAAAGCCAAACGCGAACCGAAACTGAAGAAAAAGAGCTGAATGACGAACTCTACGCGCTTTCCCATATATATCGCCAAAAAAAAAAATACAATTAATAGTAGCAACAAACACAACGCGAGAAAAAGAAAGGGTAGCGCAAGAAAATAATGCAGATGAATCGCGCCCCCTTTTTTCTCTTCTTTTTCGTTTCCTCTCGCCATGCGTTCTCTCCGAATCTCGAGGCAGACCTGTGCCCGGGATGGTGCCTAAGCGTGTCTTTGCTCAGCCGGTTGGAATGTTAGAGTGTGAACTCAGTCATTCGTGGGGGAGGTAGGCGAGCTGAAAAGTGTATTGTTAGCATTCCAATATGAATGTGATTGTTGGCAAGAAAAAAACATACTATTGATCACCACCACTTCCCGCGGCGCGACCCGGCGTTCTGGGAGAGAAGCTAGGAGACGTTGGTGAATACCCAGGGCTGGTTGGAGACATTTGCTGCCCGGGAGAGCGCTGGAAGGTGGGGCTTGTCGGCGAGTAAGCATCTGGCGACGTGGGCGACCAGTTGGGCGACGCCGGCGAGTATGATGGCGACGTGGCCTGGAACGCAGGGGACGCTGGGCTGTAGCTCGGACTCGTCGGCGAGTACGACGGCGAGGTCGGTGACTGGAACTGCGCGGGCGATGTCGGGGAGTAGTGACGGGTGGCAGCCGGAGACGCAGGAGAATAGCTCGGCGAAGTCGGGCTGTAGCTGGGGCTTGTTGGGCTCCCAGGACGAAGCATAGGCGACGTTGGCGAGAAAGACGGCGAGGACGGGCTGAACTGAGGGCTCGAAGCAAACCGACCACCGGCGTCGATGAGCGGAGAGGTGGGGGAATACCCAGCAGCAGGCGACGTCGGGGAGTAACCGTAGCTGAAAGGCGACGTCGGGGAGGTAGTGAAGGGACTCGTAGGTCGCCCAGGGCTTGTAGCATACGGGTTGACCGAGCTGGAACCATACCCACCACCACCGTATTCAGATGCGAACCCAGGCGGGCCACCGGATTCATTGCCCACAATAGGGGAGAAGTTACCCATGGTTGGGGAGTAAGACCCGCCAAGGTAGCCGTTATCAGCCATAGGTGAGCCTGTGTCGTAGGGGGTCGCGGCACCCTCAAGCTGGTTACCCTTGATGGTCATGCCAGCCATGAGACCCATGCGAGAGTTATCAGAGATGACAGTCTCCAGCATCTTGGGGTCGAGAAGAACCTCAAAGTGACCAGTGCCCATGGGCGCCATCTGACCAAGCATGACGTTCTCGGAAATACCGCGGCAGTCGTCAAGCTCACCAACCGCAGCGGCTTCGAGAAGAATCTCGACAGTCTCCTCGAAAGAGCAACGCATGAGCGCACCAGTATCAGCGCGATTGATACCATGACGAGTAACGGCAGCAATGCTGCCGCGATAGGTCATGACATCGACCAATAGAGCCAAATGGCGATGGTTGACATAGGAACCGTCGAAGGCAAGCACTTGCGTCAACTCAGCCATGAGAGCCGAGCGAGCAGCTTCGATTCCAAACACATCGACAACCTGGTACAAGTCGTTGGTGTAGGTGCGAGTAGTGTCAACACCTTCAACCGTCAAGACCTCTCTAAGGGCCGTACCCTGGGTATCAAGATACCACTCCTCGCAGGCTGGCTCCTTGTCCTTGTTGGCCGTTTGCGATCCGTCGGGGAGTTCGAGCAATCTGGCGGTCTTGTTCAGGAAAGCACGCTCGATGCCTTCAACGCCACGGAGAGTACAAGAGTCAAGCAGATGCTTCTCCAGACGCTTCAGCATAACATCATCCTCGATGATAGTGTTACCGTCAGCATCCTTGTCATCGTTCTGGCGAATGACGCGGATACGAACAACCATCTCCTCGGCGTTGTTGTCACTGAAAATAACCGCGACATCCTTCTTGTACTCCTGTTTGATAGCAGCGGCAACATCCTCCACACGCAAGCCCTTGTCAAGCATCTTTTGACGATCGAGCATGATTCTGAGTAGCCAGCGGGATTGACTATCGATAGGCTGCGAGTCAGAGGTGTCGGGAATAAGGAAGTAGGACTCGACGAGATCGAAATCCTCGGGGATGACAGTGGAAGTGATATCGGGGTCGTAGTAGATCTCAGTCATGGCTGTGACGGATCTCAGACTGGTGTGCTCAACCAAGTTACGCATCGACTTGGCGTCTTCTTGCGTAGCTCTCTCCTTGTCAAGGTAGACAACCATGGACGGAGTCTTGATGTCCTTGGCAACGTTGAGGATTTCCTTGAGACGCGGTACACCGAGGGTGACGTTCTTAGAAGAAACACCGGCGAAATGGAAGGTGTTCAACGTCATCTGGGTGGCAGGCTCACCAATGGACTGGGCAGCCAACACGCCAACCATCTCACCAGGAGAGACCATGGACCGGGACCAACGGTTTTCGAGCTCACCAAGAACATGGTCGAAGGCGAGCTTGTTGAGCCGCTGCTCAACAGCCAGGCGCTTGAACGCAAGACGAGAGCGAATCTGAATCTTGAAGAGAATGGTGGCGTTGTAATCAGCTTCTCTGGACAATTCATCCTCGCCTCTAACTACCACCATGCGAGCAAGCAAGGCCTGCACAGCAGGAATGACATCCTTGGGAGTCAGGTCGCTGCGCTGGGTGCTGTCAACCTTGAAGAGCTTCTTGGCAGTATCAATAATACGGCCAATGTTGAGAGGCAGCTGCATGCTGTCATCGTCCTTCTTCTTGCGGTTGATTTCACGGACTTGCTTCCGGTCGGCAAGAAGCTGCTCATATTCCTCATCCAAAAGCGACTGGACGGCAGGATCGCTGACCATCTCTCGGCCATATTCCAGGGCGTCCAGAGCGGCAGCAGAGCTTGTCTCGTCCATCACGTCGAGACGGAAGCGCTTGTCGAACTTGGCGTTGTTCAAGTTCATGTGGTCGACCTTTTGCTTTTCAATGGCAATACCATCAAGGCCATCCTCACCGTACACGAACTGAATGATATCACCCAGCGAGTTGCGCACCGTACCATCGTAATGCGCCTCAGCGTCTTCAAGAGCCTTGACCAAGCGACGCTGAATGTAACCGGTCTCGGCTGTCTTGACTGCAGTATCGATCAAACCTTCTCTACCAGCCATGGCGTGGAAGAAAAATTCCGAAGGAGTCAAGCCACGGAGATACGAGTTCTCGACGAAACCACGAGCCTCGGGGGAGTAATCATCCTTGGTGAAATGAGGGAGGGTGCGGTATTTGAAGCCGAAGGGAATGCGCTTTCCTTCGACAATCTGCTGACCGACCAACGCTGTCATTTGGGAGATATTGATGGAAGAGCCCTTGGAACCCGAACGAGCCATGGTGACGGCGTTGTTGAGATCCTTCAAACTCTTCTCGGTAGACGTACCGGCCTTGTCACGAGCCGTATTCAAGGCAGCCGACACCTTGTTCTCGAACGTCTCACGGACGTTCATACCCGGGAGAGCCTCGAGCTGGTTTTCAGTGGCCATCTTGGTAAGCTTGGCGACCACGGCCTTCTCGTCATTGATGTGCTTTTCAATGAGCTCAATGGTCTTGTCATCGGGAATGGTGTCACCGATACCAATGCTGTGGCCGCAGTGGAGAAGCCAATAGTTGACAACTCTCTGGCACCCGTTCAAGAAGTCCATGGCACCGGAGGGGCCCAACTCATTGTAGCACAGATGAATGATGCCGCCTCCAGCAGCACCGACACTCTTCTTGGTGAGCAAGCCGTAGATGAGCTGACCTTGCTGAATCAGGAGACCCTCGTCCTTAAGCGGGGCGTCCCTCTCTTCGCCATCGGCACCCATGGCAAGGTTGATAATGCTGGGAATCACCATGCTGATGATCTGCTTGCCAGTCCACCGGGGCCTAGGCTTCCAGATAGCAGGAAGGGGAATGACTCCATCCCAGTCTGGGACCCACATCATGACGTCCATCACCTGTTCTTTGGTGAGGAAGGTGTCGCGACGAGTGAGCTTGTATACGCCGGCCAGTGTATCCTGGACGATACCCATGAGCGGGCCGTTACGCTGGGGAGAGACGATGTTGAGAGGAACCATGCACAGCTCCTTGACTTCAGCACGTGTCTCCTCGGTCTGCGGAACGTGCAAGTTCATTTCATCACCGTCGAAATCGGCGTTGTAGGGCGATGTGACGGACAAATTCAGGCGGAAAGTAGAGTAGGGCATGACGCGCACTCTGTGACCCATCATGGACTCCTTGTGGAGAGAGGGCTGACGGTTGAAGATGATAAAGTCACCGTCGATCAAATGACGCTCGACTTTCCACCCGTACTCCAGCTGCAGAGCTCCCGCACGCTTGTGATGGCGAAGATCGATGCGCGTCCCGTCCGACCTGATTACGTACTTGGCACCGGGATGTTCGTTCGGCCCATTTTTGACATAGCCGGTGAGCTTCTCAATGTTGTAGGGAGTGACGGTCTCGGGGAAGGTGAGGGTGCGGGCAATGCTGCGTGGGACACCGACTTCATCCAGAGAAATGTTGGCATCACCCGTGATGACAGTACGGGCCGAGAAGTCGACTCGCTTTCCCATCAAGTTACCTCTCAGACGACCTTCTTTGCCCTTGAGACGCGCGCGGATGGCTTTCACTGGACGGCCGCTCTTTTGCAGAGCTTGTGGCTGACCAGCAATGTCGTTGTCCATATAGGTGGCGACGTGGTACTGGAGAAGATTCTCATAATCCGTGATGATGTGCTGGGGTGAGCCTTCTGAGATGGCCTGTCTGACGTTGCCGTTGGCGCGAATGATATCGCCAAGTTTGTACGTCAAATCGTCTTCGTTGCGCATACCGGTGCCAGTACCGTCCATAGAAATGCTAGGACGCACTGGCGGCGGGGGCACGGGAAGAACTGTGATGATCATCCACTCGGGACGGGCTTGGGAAATGTTGAGACCGATATCGACCATCTCGTCCTCTGACATGCGACGGAAGATGTTGAGAGTCATCTCGGGTGTAAGAACCTTCTTCTCCTTGGTCTTCACACCTTCGTCGTCCTTGTGCTCGACCATGGCATACAGAGTCAGAGCCTGCTGACGCACAACGGGCTGGGTATTGCCGCAACCTCCGTGACCACCATCAGCTGGGCCCGCGTTGGGATCATACGAGCCATCTTCGGGTTTCTGCGGCGCAAGGTTATCGCAAACGCGCTTCGCTTTGCAGATGTCCCACACACGCTTGAAGCGAGTTTTGGGGTCGCGAATCTTCATAGCCGCGGCGTAAGCAGGATCACTCTATGAAGGCGTTAGCACAAGCACAATGGATAATCCCGAATTCAGAATGCACGAACTCTATCGGCCAAAACCTTGCTACAGTTATGGCAGACGATTTCCAGCAATTTCTTTGTCCGTTTGATGAATCCTGGATGGTAGACTGGGCGGGCCAGTTCGATGTGTCCGAAATGCCCTGGGCACTCTGACATGTTTTCGGTACATGTCTTGCATTTGAATTGTCGGTCTACTGAGCCGAGTAAAGGGTCGTTGAGACCACCATCGCGTGGCTTGGTTCTCGTCTCATCCATAGTCTCAGGATAGACGATGTGGGCTACGCTCATGGCCTTGATTTCATCCGGCGACAGCAGACCAAACTGGATCTCCTGAATTGTCCGGAGCGGCGCGCTCGAGTGAGCGAAGATAAGGTTCGCCATGATGAAAGCTGTAAGAGCTCAAGTATTTCGTGATTTGGTGAATGGGGAAAAGCAAGGCGGGTGGGCTAATTAAGGAGGAGTCGTCCAAGCAGCCGGTAGTCGAAGGACCAGAGAGCCTGGCAAAGACGCGGCGGGTCGCGATAGGGCTGCGCGCGCGCAAAAAGTCGGTGAAAAAAGTCGACGTCGAGCGAAGTAAAGGAAGAGAACGACGGGCAAAGACGGGATTTTTGATGGATCGGTCGCCGAGGGATGAGTTTTGCGATTGCAAAGTCGATGGTATCCTCCACTGCGCTGTCCACAGGCCAGCGGCCCCAACGGAGCGATGATCACAAGCTCAGTGCCTCCAGTTTGCGCCGCAAGTCGAAGGAGAGTCGAAGAAAAGTCGTTAAACCGCGTTCAACACGTGTTGTCGGCTTGCCGATGGCTGCAGGCGACAAGAATCGGGGGAGGTTGACGCGTTCCGCGATGGCGGTCGTGATGGTTGTTGAGTGGTGGTTTGGAAAAGAAGTGGATGGCGCCGCTTGCTTCTGAAAAGTTCGACTTGACGGACAAAGCGACGCGGGAAGGAGGCAACGACTAGCCCACTTTGAGGACGGGCCCACTTTTCCGCGGAGGAGCAACCACCACAGCGCACCTACCAGGGCCCAGCAAGTGAACTGTGGGATACCAGCTGGCGACTTGACCGGCTGCGAACCACCCATCAACCGCCACCACAGCGCTCCCCATGCAACAGGTACCCTCAAGGTCGCTGTGCGTGTCACCCACCACGGCTGCCTGCCCAGTGACTTTTGGGACATCAGTCTCCAAACCTAGACCCGCAGCATATATATCACTTCCATGACGCCGTCGAGCAGACAATCACTTTATCAACCCCCGCACCCAAGAATGTGGATGGGGTCGGTGGTATGGCATTGCACTATGAGGCGCCATCTGCTCGTGTTCAACCGAGTACCGGTTTGAGCACACTCAGACGACCATGTTTTAGTTACGCCTTCATTCAGCCACACCAAAGGTTACCACAACCATGAGACGGCCAAAAGGTAGGGATTGTCAGAGCACATACCTCCGTCCCTTCTCCTGCCTCACGTCATAGGGGTCATGTTCATGCAATGCTTCATGGATGTCTATGGTGAATTCAGGGGTATCATAACTACAACTACGTATTACTACTCAATATTAATAGACCACCACCCTACTTCTTCTTAGCTCGCCCTCTCTTTTTCGGGGCCGCCTTTTCACCACCAGTGCCCTCACCATCGTCTTGCTCTCCCGGACTCTTCCGTCGCAGTGTCCCGAATCCGACGTTGATGAACTCATCTTCGCTGTCCGACTCGCCCAGGTCAAAGAGGATGGGCACCCGGAAATTGTCAGCCTCCTGTTCCAGCTCTGTCTTGTTCCCCACCGGTCCCATCACATCGATCTCCTCGTCCTCCTGATCCAACCGTCGTTTCTGAATTTCTTCGTGGGGATGGATGTCGAACTCGTCCTCCTTCTCGATGTACTCAACGTTGTCCTCGACCTCGACGAAATCAGGCGCCAGAGCCGACCATTTCTGTGGGCTTGTGACTGACCAGATGTTAATTCTGCCCGTCTCCGCGCCACAAGCTACGAGCAAGGCCCTATGAGGGTGCCATTCTAGATATGTCGACTCCTCCTTCGGCCCCTCAAGCATACGAACTAAACTGCCGTGTGCTCGCTCCCAGATGTAAAGCTCGTGGTTGTTATGAGCTGAGGCAGCTACATACTCCCCCGTAGCGCTGAATGTGACATGCCCCCACCGAAGCTTGTTGACGACGTCCTGGAACTTGTGCTCAAGGGGCAACTGTATTGTATCAGGATCAAGATCTGGGGCGGAGAGGTCTGGCAGGTGAAACGTTCGGATGATACCGTCGTTGCTATTCACAAGCAGATCTTTGCCAGATTCGGTCAGTCTCAACAGAAGAACCGCACTCCTTTCGGCGATCTTCTCGGAGTAGATGAGCTGGTGGGTTGTGGTGTCGATAATATTCAGTCGGCCTTTGCTGGTGCCGGATAGCAGATGAGCTCCCTTCGCAGTATATATCATCGCCGTTGTGGTCTGCTTCACGGTGTCGTGCTCTGGAGCGGTCGGGAGAGGGTGTTGAACGTCTTTTCGGTCTTGGACATCGACGAGGACCGGTTGGGCTTCGAACAAGGCTGCAGCAAACTGGTGACTGAGCATATGTTAGTATAGATGACTGGAAGGAAAGGTCCTCTCCAAAACGTACTGGTTCCAGGGATGGAGCTCAGCCCCGTAGACTGGCGCTCGGAATCGCACTTCGCGATACTTCTTGCCATCTTGGAGATCCCATAGAATGGCCTTCCAACCAGCACAGGCCGACAGCAGGTATCGACCGCACCGTGACCAGCTTAGCGATTGTATTTGCTTAGAATGGCCTCGCAGCTTCCGGGCGACGCCCATGGTCTCAATGTCCCAAACGACAACGGTTCCATCGCCGCGGCCGGACGCGAGGTAATCACCCTTGCGATTGAAGCGAACACAGGTTGAGTGACCCGATCGAATGGTGTTGGTAATGTTCTCTGGGTAGTCTTGAAGCAGGTAATCGTCGGAAAGTAGCAGATTCATCTTGGACTTGTCGAGGCGACGTTGTCGCTTCACGAGTTCGAAATCTGGAATGTCGAATTGTTGACTTTCATCATCGGCTCTCGCTAGAAAAGAACTGATGGGCCGCTGCAAGGGTCTCGATGCGCTAGAGACCCGCTGAGCCGCACCTTCGATGGCGCCTGTTTGACAGGGGTTTGGTGGCCGGGCCCGTGCAGCTTCAGCGGGTGCCAAGCGCCCCGCCGGCAAGTCCCCGGCACGCGGGGTATCTCTGGAGCTTCTTTCCAGACGTGCTGGAATGCCATCCTTTTTCTCCATGACAAAGACGTAAGTAACAGTAATTCAGACTCTGTAAATATCCAGATCAGATGGCGAACTCAAAGTAAGATTATGTCGAATCACAGCAAGTAGAACATAGCTGATATAGTAGGAAGATTTGAATATGTCAAAAACTTTGAGCAGCCAGACAACTTGCTGCTAAATACATGGATTGTTGTGAGAATCGACGGGAGAGGCTTCACAAAGTATGACTGTTACAAACATGAGTTTGGCATCACTTCCTAACCTTTCATTCTGCTTGACTAGATTCTCAAGCAAATATGGTTTCGAAAAACCAAACGACAGGCGAGCTCTGGATCTCATGAACGCTGCCGCTCAGGCAGTCATGTATGAGATACCAGAGGTCACCATAGCCTACGGAATCAGCGATGAATACAGGTATATCCCCAGACCTCTTCTTTCATAGCAGCTTACAACTGACCCTTACACAGCTTCGTCTTCCACAAGTCATGCACCCTCTTCGAAAGACGCTCAAGGTACCTACCTCCCATTCGACTCACCACCCACAATCGTGACTCACTAACCGTTCCCAAGCAAACTCGTCACCACAATCGTATCAACCTTCTCATCCTACTACATCCACCTCTGGTCAACCTACTTCCCCGACACCCCCCTGTCACCCCCCTTACCCAGCTTCGACGGCAGAGCAGTCTGCTACCCCAGCGTGCAGAACCTCCGGGACTACATGAGCTGGAGGCAGGTAGACTGCCACATCAACAACCTCTACAACACCACCTTCTGGGCTCTCATACAGAAAGGTGGCATGGGAAATCTCGAGGCGGAAGAGTTGCTCAAGGGGACGTATGCTGCCGACAAGAACGAGATTTTGTTTTCCAAGTTTGGCATAAACTACAACAACGAGCCAGAGATTTATAAGAAGGGGAGTGTGCTGTTCCGGGGTGTGAGTATTCCCTTTGTATCAGACATCTGGTTTTGATGCTAACAAGCAAAAGTACGAGCTGGTAGACCCAGCCACCCACAACGCAGCAGCCGAAGCAGATAGCCTGGCCGAGCCAGTCCAGCAATCCAAGAACCAGACAGAAAGCGACAAAAAGAGGAGGGCCAAGGCCAGGATAGTGATTGAGCACCTTGACATCATCAAGGATGAATTCTGGGACCGGAGGCCCTGGTTGCTATCTAACAAGCCGGGCAAGGTTCCCAAGGAGACCTGTCTCTAACGAATATCAAGGTCGTGCCTTTTCGAGCTATCTGTCCATCACTTCTGATCGGGCCTTCAAGGCCCTGTGATATAACACGTATGCCCGCCCAACATTTCAGTCCGGCCGGAGTGTTCTCAACGGCCTGTTCTCCTCCAGGGTATCATTATAACATCTCGCTTTTCCCACACTTTTCTTTTCATTTCTCCTTCTTATCCTTCTCCGCCCTCCTCTTCCTCTTCAACTCTTTCCTTCTCCTCCTCTCCTCCTTCTCCCTTTTCCTCCCCTCCTTTTCCTTTCTCCTCCTCACCTTCTCCTCCCGTTTTAACCTCTTCGCCTCCTTCTTCTCTTTCCTTGCTTTCCTCTCCTCCTTCGTCATCCCCGCCTTCTTCGCCTCTCTTTTCGCCCTCTTCGCCGCCAATTGCTGCCTCAACGAAAACCCCCCACCACTCTCACTCCCCCCATCAGGCGTCGCAGTCCCCTCCTTACTCTCCCCCAACAACCCAACCTCCACCGTCCCCTCCAACAACCCCCCCTTCACAAAAAACGCATACAGCCCCTTGGTACCGGTATACTTCCCCTCCTGCACCCTCCCCACCGCATCCAGCTTCCCCTCCGTGACAGTCTGGGTAATACCCTCCTTCGAGTTTGTCGTGTCCAACCCCTTGAGCTTCTGGTCAAAAGCTGAGAGCCACCACTGGTCAGAGGTGTAGTGCGTCTTGTTGCCTATGCCGCGGCCGTCGGTGTTGCGGGATATGAGGAGGGGGTTTACCAGGCCGCGGGCGTTTCGGCCGGATTGGGTTGGGGTAGTGGAGGAGGAACCGAAGCGGTGGGAGTCGAGGGAGTGGCCTTTGCCCAGCCAGCCTTGGGACTGGAGGAGGGCGGAGGCGTTCATTTTCGCTCGCGGAGGGCGAACTTCAAGTTTGGTGGGAAATTCGGGGGTTGTGTGGGTGTATTATTGAGGCATGAAAGGGTAGGGAAAATGAGGTGGTAATTATAGGGGTGGTGTATCGTCGCGCCAAAGATGAAGGGATCAAGAAAGTTGCGACGAAACTGCGCGCCGGAGAGAGCTCGAGGCGAATTGGCGATAAGAGAAATTTTGGCGGCGGCGATAAGAAAGGTTGCAAGGTCGCTTTGTAGAGGAAGCTTGGCGGCGGGATGTCTTGGCGGTTCGGGGATAAAGTAGTGGGTTAGGGTTGTACATGCCATCACGGAACACCTTACTTCCTGTGTAGGAATAATGATTACGCTACCATGTTAACCATTTTTACACTTTTCTACCCGATATACACGCTGCCTAAAAGTAGTCCAGCCCCGCCCACCCGAGCACACCATCCAGTTCTCCCCTGATCTCATCAGGTCCAGTATACCCAGCCCTGCCAGCAACCTCTCCCCTCTTTGCCCTTCCCAACTCCGAGAAGCGAGCTAGGATAGTGCCGTCAACAATGTGTCTCCCTATACCAGCATCTACTCCAGCAGGAGGACAAGTAGCAGACGGCATTCTGTACCCCTTTGGATTCAGCCCTGCCGCGTGGGTCAAAGAATTCGTCAACTGAGCAGCCAGAGACGACAGTCTCCGGTATGCCGTCTCTGACAGTGGACGGAGAGCCGCTAACACGCCAGTCGGAGAGGCAAGCAGCAGAATGTGTGGACGTGATGTGGCTCCATTTTCCTCGTTATCTTCCTTGTTGTCTGGTGACAGTGTCGAGGGCAAGAGAAGCGACTTGGTGACGTGGTGGGCGCCTGTGCTGAAACTCGTCCTATGCAGTAACAGATGGCCCTGGAGAGATTTCGGGTCTACATATAAAAGTTAGCAAACAGTAAACGTCATGTATGGCTTGAGGTATCACTTACGCTCTGGATCAAACTGAAGAATATGAATGTGTCCCTCCGCATCACATGCCACGATCGACAACTCCTTCCCGTTCGGCAAGAAATCAGCATTCAATACCTCCAGTCGGGTATTGCTCTTGCCAAACAACATCATCTTGTACGGCTCCTCGGTGTACCCCGTAAACCACACCCCCTTGAAAGCATCAGCCATCAGGCACAACCCCGTCCCAGGAAGCTCCTTTGCGCTGGTGACATAGCAGTTCATGTCCATGAATGCTACCGGGAGCAAGGTCCCATCTTCCTTGAGACCACGCACCATGCACTTCGGTCCCTGAGCAACAAGCATGAGACCTTGAGTACCAATCTCAGAGAGCGCCGTGACGGCACCGCGAGGAATATCTTCCTTCGCAATGAGCTTCAGCTTCTTGCCCGTCTCTGGCTTCCCGGGCTCCGGGATAACGTCAGCCACGTTGTAGACATAAACAGCCCCCCTGGTAGGCAAATCCTCGCCCTTTGTGATCGCGGTACCGACACCAATCAGAAGTTTCCGCTCGTTGGTGGCTTCCGAAACTTCCAGGTTAAGTGTCTCCACGCAGAGCACATTCTCGCAGGGTTCCATAACGATGGTGTCAACCACAGTCCATGTAATGGGACCGATGAGCTTCAGCGTTCCCCTCTCCAGTGTCGGCTTGAAAGGCAGAACTTCGCGGGCCCATTCCTTGTGGTAGTCGTCATCTCTTGGAAGTTCAAAAGGCTCCGGAGTATTGCAGGCTACAACATAGCTCTGCGATGGAGGGTGGTATGCCACGGCGACGATGTCCTCACCAATGGGTATCTTCTTCACCGCTAGCCCAGTCTCGGCGAAACTCCAGTCCTTAGGGAGCTGCGATACCCTTACGATGTTGTGGGAATCGGCATATATGAACCCGTGTTCGCATCCTTCAGTGTGAAAAGAGCTGATGGCTGTGACTGCTGCGCCTTGTAGCGGCAGTACCTTGGGCATGGATTTGGATGATTTGATGATGAAACTGGGGGATGGCCCGGGGAGGAAGACGGTGCTATACCCGCCGATGTTATTGCACCTCCGCAGCGCTAGGCACTTCGCTTGGTGTGTGACCTCCTCGTCGTCCGTTTCCTCTGCTGGGCTTTTCGCCAGCACCGAATTGGGGATCTTTTGGAAGAACAAAGTCTTTGGAAATTCCAGTCCAGCGCCAAGTTGATATCGGTAAGGCTCATACATCGTCAAATCATCATTCGCGTGACGGAGCTAGGAGACATGATTAGCGACTACCACGTTGCCACAGCATTGACAAACAACATACAATGAGATACGGGGACTTGGCGGTAGTATCACCCAGATCAGCCACCAGTATTTCAGACACGGTCTCCTTGGCTGTGCCTTTTCGCGCGGCATAGTCAGCCGAGAGCCCGGTGGGAATGTATGAGAGCCCTTCGGCTACATATACTGGCTTGCACAGATCAGGGAGGCGGTATATCTGCGTGGAGTCAGTATTGTACACATGACCCAACCGAGAAGGGAGCTTACATAAAGAGCACCACTGGCGCTAAGAAGAAACATGAGAATACTCTCAGGCAGCTTAGCCTTCTTGTCACCCGACTCTTCCCCAAACACACCATTGGTGTCTGTGTACAGACATCCAGTCAACCATTTTGTGGTCGCCAACGTCTTGTCCTCCTTTTCTACTTCTTCCAACTCGTTATCGTCGTGAATCGAAGCAATAAAAACACTCTGATCATTGCGGATGATGAGCAAGTACGGGTCGGCAATGCTCGCACTGGTAGCTCTAGGCTCAGCTCCCGTTTCTTCATCCATCATCGGCACTATCTGACTGAGGCCGAGATCTCCGTCGTAGCAGCGGACTTCCGATTTGAGAACCTGAATGATTCTGTTGTCTTTGCCCATAGTGCCTGCTTCAATGGTGAAGCCGGCAGCAGGGTCAAATTCTGTGCCAGTGAGGCTTTCAAAGCCCGCCGCGGTAAGGGCGTAGACATCAGATTTCTCGTAGCCGTCCAGGTCGACCTTAGCGACAATCATGAACTTGTCATACTGGCCCGAGGTACCGTAGTCATTTCCAATCGCGCCGGGTCCCTTGTCACCTTGCAGTGACTTTGGCACAGGCTTCTTTGCGCACACTGTCCAGAATCCCCTCGCCTCAGGGAACTCGAAGCGTCCAATAACCTTTGGTGGGATGGCAAGATTCATGATCGCCATTGCGGAAGACTTATTCCTTCCTACGCCGCATACCAATTGGAGTTCACTGCGAACGCCGGCCGAGTTCTGCTCCTCCTCGCTGCCGGGTGCATCCACGGGTTGACCGTACGTCATGGACTGGATGGGCGCAATACTCAGCAGCCGGTCGTGGATTCGAAAAGTGAGGTCACCTTCCTTGACATTGCTGGCAGTTGCGACAGCCTGTTGCTTGGGTGTTGGTTCCTCGGCATAAAGGTCATCTTCGTCCTCGTCCTCGTCAAGATCCTCCTCATCCGCCATATCGATGTCCAGGCCTACATCTTGAAGCCGTGACTTCTTTCTTCCTGATTGATTCTGCTTCTTTGTCCAGCCAAAAACGAGAGAGTCACCCTCCTCGCTACCGGCAAACATGACACTCTTGCCTATCCTTGAGAGTGTTGATACGCGGCCTGGGATGAGAGAACCGCCTGTTTCTGAAGGGAGCAGCTTGACGTCAAGACCAGACACTGTACGACCGTCTATCCTGAAGGTAACCAATGCCATACGGCCATCGCTCAGGATGACAAGAAGCTCCTCGGCTGACAAGACGTCGATGGTACATTCCTCGAGCCGAAGGTTCAGGTCGGACTGGTCAGACAGGCCAAAGGAGGTGCATTGTTTTGTGAGGGGGTTGACAGCTACACCGTTCGGCTTGCCCGACTGGTCGATGTGGATCAGCTCATTCGCTCCCACGAGTAAAGCACCGCCGACGGGGGCCGGCAAAGGCTGAACGCGGAAAAGATCCTGCGGGAGACCAGGGACTGACAGGATGGTTGTCGAGGCCCGCTGCTGCAGATCTAGGGTAAAGACCATGTATGCCAAGTGATCTTTCCGGCCAAGGGAGTTGGAGGCGTTGACAGTCGAGGCGAGAATGCCAAAGGTGGGCTCTCGGTACTCATGCAGGAAGGCCAGATGCACAGGATGGAGGAGACTTGGATCAAGATTGGAGAGTCGGAGGACAAATGATGGTGAATAGGGTGTCTCTTTTATGCTGCTACCTCCATTTACAACGGCGGCTTCTTGCTTGACAGGTCGAGGGCCATCCAGATCCTCGTCCCAGTCATCATCCATATCAATGTCCTCATCCGCCTGCTTGAAGGGCAGGATGGCCAAATTCATGCCGCCAAACTTGAGCGCCGCGCATCTACCCCCCGGGTCTGCCGCGAGAAAATTGGTGAAGTTGGATAGAGGTGGCGCCCATGGGCTTCCCTGCAGCTCGTCTTGTTCGTAATAGTGGATAGACACGGTCGACAGATCATGGCGTTCGGCGTCCCACTCTACCAGGCTGAGCCTCGCGTCTTTGAAGGCCACGAGCAGTGCATCACCGCCTGACCTCAGGTTTTGCGACTTTATCTTTGCTAGCCCCGTGATGGTTCCCGACAGTGAAATCTCTGAAACGAGCACCAGCTTTGTGTTGTTGGTGCGATCCGTCTTGAACGCAAGACTGTCCCCTCCCAGAAACGATGCCTCAAGCCCATCGTCGTCATTCGCTAACCGGCTTTCGTATCGGCCCGCGTTTCGTGTCCTAGCACCGCTGCCCTGCTGAGAAGCATCAATCTCGGTCGATACGATCTTTGTTCTGAATATCTGGAGAAGAGACGACTTTGCGACCACGAGGTTCGTGCCCTGGCCTGGAATTAGTTGGAGTGTGAGGGAGTGGGTGACAGCCGTCGGCGGCGTTAGCTCTGTGTAGCACTGCATGCTGTGGCAGCCAAGCACATATCTCTATTCCGTAAATAGACAAGAAAACACGATGCGCAAAAACAATCGTTGCTTTTGAATATGGTGGTGGTGGTTTGAAGAGGACGAACCAAACCGCAACTCGAGGGCTGCCGCGAAGCTCGAAGGAAGCTCCCGTGCGTGGTGTTGATTGGTCCGAATAAATTTCATGGGCCAGAACGCCAGAACCCCGAACTGCGTGCTGAACGTGTGGGAAAAGTCTTGGCACAACGTCGCTAGCAGGACTTGGCAGGTTCCACAGGAGCTCCCTTCGCTGCAGCATTGCGTCACAGATTAAGTGAACTGAATGCCCCCCCCAGAGTGGAACACTTCACGTTCCTACCCCTTGCAACAGTTCCTCTCAAACACCACATCTGCTTCGCTGGGACGACTTCAGTGTACTGATTGATACAGATTATCTAAGACACTGATTGTCTTCTACCATTCTTCAAAAAGAACCACGCATATCTGGACATCTCCAATCCGCAAGCCGCCAACATGTTGGCATCAGCTGGCTTGCTCCAGACCAGTCTTATTTGGGTGGCCTACGCCGTCGCGGTCGCCTTGGTGCTCCTCGTCGCCATTATCACAACATTCACCTGGCAATCCCCGCATGAGCGATCTGTTACCGTGAGCATCGTCGCGATTGTCAGTCTCACCTCGCTTCTAGCAACCGTCTTCCTCCTGCCCGTTGACATTGCCCTTGTCTCGTCCACAGCCTCAGCACACCTCGGTGCTAAAAAGGACTGGGCAACGCCCGAGAGAATCGATGGAATACTCTTGACCTTGAAGGTCGTTTACTACACCCTCTACAGCTTCGATGCGTTGCTATGTCTGATCGTCATCCCATTCGCCTATTTCTGGTACGAGGAATATGATGAGGTTGAAGAGGAGGAGGGAACCAGTGGTGCTGGCGCCCGGTTCTGGAAGGCGGCGAAGTATACGCTTGGATTCGTGTTTTTGGTCTTGATTCTGTTCCTCCTCGGTTTCTTCGTCCCCGCTGCGGGTAGTGGGAACGGCAAGCACCTTGATCTGGACTACTTCAAGCGTCTGCTCGCTGCCAACAAAGGAGAGAAGGCTTTGACATTCGGGGTCGGCCTGCTCATCACGTTGGGCACGTTTCTCTACACTCTCTATACCGGTGCTGGACTGGCTCTTCTTCCGGTCTCTCTTATCAAGTCTGCCCCGTCCATCTCCGCTCCTCAGCTTTCCGCGACGATCGCGACCGACTTGGAACATAACCGAGAGCTCCAGAGACAAATCGAAATGCGCAATGCTGGCCGTCCGGATGGCATTTCTCAGAAGGACAGGAGGGAGCTGGACGCCTTGCTACGTGAGGAGCGCACTCTCGTGAGAAGGGAAAGACTTGCGGCCGAAACCCGTGGTGACGGCCGAAGTGGTGTCTTCCGCGCCTGGACCAAGATTCAAGCTGTCTTCCGTCCTCTCAAGCTCCTGGGCGGTATCTTGCTACTGCTGCTCTCGATCTTGGTCTGGGCCTCCATGCTCATCACTGGCATCGACAAGGCGGCCAACTCTATCTGCAAAGAACACTGTGGCTACATCCTCGGTCACATCAACGTCTTCCAGCCGGTCAACTGGATCTTTGTGCAGTCTGCCAAGGCTTTCCCCGTTGACTACATCCTGATGGCTCTGTTGGTTTTGTTTTTCTTCGGCAGCTCAATCACTGGTATCGCTACCATTGGCATCAGGTTCTTGTGGGTGAGAGTCTTCCAAATCAAAAAGGGAAGAACATCACCCCAAGCACTACTCATCGCAACAGTGATGCTCGCGTTGATTATCCTGGCTATCAATTATGCTATTGCCATGATTGTCGCCCCTCAGTACGCCATCTACGGCACGCAAACCTTTTGCGTCAACGCACCTCGCCACCCAGGAGAACAACCCGACTGCCGTGAACACAGGGACATGGTCAGGCCTTGCTCAGAAGTCTTTTCCGAGCCAGCAGCGAAAGATGTCTGCACGCCCACGGTGATGAGCACCTTCCTCAACAGAGTGACGATCAACTGGCCCGTGTTTGGGGCGATTGACTTCTGGGCGCAGTTTGCCTTTTTGGGCGTGTTTATGGTGGTGTTTGTGACGAGTTTGTTCAGGACGCCGAGGTTGAATTTGAGCGAGTTGGATGAGGAGGCCGAGGTGGATGAGGAGGAGGGCCTGTTGGCCAGCACGGGGAGGAGGTTTGGTGCTACTTGGGGGGATATCACTGGAAGGGCGAAGAACAGGAATGGGTATGGGACTGGGGGTGGGGAGGGGTCGAATGGGAGGGGTTGAGGGGGTTGCCTAGTTGATGGTGTTGGGTTGTACTTTCTTGACTTGTGTTATTTTCGATGACAGGGCAGATTGTGATGCTAAAAGAACTGTCACTTTTTCTTGGTTTGCGTTTTTCAGTTTTCTCAGGGTTGGGTGGGATTCTATGGGATCAGGTATGGCGGGCGGGATGGCGGAGTTTCATATCATAGGGTATAATTGGGCATTTTACTACTTTTCCATGCAAGGGCGAAGCTCTGGGGGGTAACATAAAACCTCCAAGGCTGGATTGGTGTGTGATGGGCAGAAGCGCTCGGGTTTTCTAATGTGTATTCTTGTGTAACCTGGCATTTTGAGCAATTCAATTTCTTTCGCTCACCTATCGTGGTCTTGAGTTGGGTATTATGTTGTGTGTCACAAGGTAAGGTATATATTTGCTGCAATGCCTCCCAAGTAATGCGGTTTATCGACTATCACCTTCCGGGGTAAGTCGTCCATGTTCAGAAGTATATCGACCATATTTCAAGGCTTGTGAGTTGGCTCTTTCGGAGGCCTTACAGGTGTATCCCGAGCCTTCTACAGAGACGGGCAAGATGTAATGAGCAGCTCACGATGCCCAACACCGATGGAGGTACTGCAACAAGTCACCAGCGGCTATGGTGTAGTGGTTTAAAGGCATTAATGCCTTCCAAGCATTAGAGTCGGGTTCGATTCCCGATGGCCGCAACTGAATATGGACATTTGGTTCTCAGTGTCAACATATTTGTTAGGTCCTTCTATTTAATTTTTGCACTCTTTCCCCTCTCTCATCTCGAGCTACCTAGCTATTATGGCTGGCCCTTTCAACGGTAATTTCCTTTCATGTTTAGTTGGTGGGCATTGAAAACGTTCCGATACCTCACATTTTCAGACGGTGCAACTAGTAACAGTAGGAATAGTAACTGAAAGAAGTCACTTCTTGTGAGATCTGCTGTGTGAGATGCTATGTGTGTTGTCTAATTGAAACTCTTATCAAACACAAAACCCAAGTTCTAAACCCACTGTATCAAACAACATCTAACCCTAATACCAACTCATTCAAACCCCCCTCCCCTCCCCCCCTTCTTCCACTTCACCCACTGATGCCCCCTCTCGTCATATCCCGCCCTCGGTCCCACATGCATCTCCCTCCAGCACCGATCACAGTACAAATAATCATCACACCCTACACACTTGATCGTCCCGTCATCAAGACAAACCACACACCAAGTCTTGGCGTCTTCGTCACTGTACTTTTCCTCCCTGCCACCCAGGGGCGGTTTCTTGGTGGGAGTTGACCGCTCCCGCTCCTCTGGTGAGAAAGTCGGGGCGGCGGGTAGGCCGAAGGGGTCTACTGGTCCTATTCCTCTGAGGGCGGCAAGGCGCGAGGAGATTTCATCTTCAAAGGGGTCCGGGGCTGGGTCTTGGAGGGCTGTGGGGACGGTTGGGAGGTTGAGGGTGTTGTCGGTGTTGTTGGGTTGGGTGTTCCCGCTGTCTTCCGGTTCCGTTGGGTTGGGTGAGACGGTTAGTTCATCTTGGGTTTGAGACAGTATCTTATCAACGGCGGCGGTCATTTGCTCGCCGTCAGAGTTGTCGTCTTCATCATCATCATCATCTTTCTCGTTGCCAGAGCTCGGCGGCACCGCCTTTGCGAGCTCATCCAACAATTCGGAGACTCTCTGGTCTTCGGTTTTCGTATCAGTACCCGTCTCAAGGGGGCCGTCGGTGAGGTTGAAGTCCTCCCCCCCACCGAGATCTTCTAACAGAGCCTGAACAGCATCATCATCGACATCTTCGTGTCCTCCTCCAACAAAGTAAGAGGGTTTTGCCTGAGATATGCCAGCATTTTCCGAATTGGGAATTGCTGTGCGCGAAGGCAGTGAAGAAGGTGTAGATGGCAGACTCTTTACGAGCTGCTCTTTCGGGTCTCGGTCGCTGCTGATCCGTGGTGTGGCCGGGGGCTGTGCCGAATGTGCTTGCTCCAACGGTGTTGGTGGTTTGTCCCCACTAGCATTGCCCGAAGAGCCTAATACAGGGCCGTCTTTAGGACTCTGGTCCTCGGGACGGGACATATTGGGCCCGGTATTACCCTGCCGGAGCTGTCGGAGGCGCTCAGCGAGGGCATCTTCTCTGGATAGTGGCTGGTTCTGGGGCGGCACAGTGGTGGGAAAGGAAGCGGTGCTTTCAGCATGTCACATTTTAGCACATGTGTTCTACAGGTTTGGAGAGAGTGTGCACAACTCATTACTTCGGGGTGTGATCAAGTGTAACACTTGACGTTTTGAGAGCGTTGAGACGGTCCAGTAGTGATTTGTCATTTGGGCGAGGGGATGACATGTTGGATCGAGACAGCCTCGGATGAGATAGTATTCAAAGTCGATGAAAGAGGGAGCCGATTAGATAGTGCGGTGGTCAGCGATGCTTGAAACACCTAACATCCGATGTCGAGGAGAGATGTCAGTGATTGGGATCGCTGATGAGCGGAATTTCAGGGTCCAAGGGGCAAGGCAGTTGGCAAGGCAGAGGAAGGTATGAAGCGGATCGGAATGCGCCTACCAATCAGATATTCCGCTGTTCTTATTGGCAAACTTGAGTATTGGAGCACCGATGAACCACTCGGTTGGTTTCTCTCATGACCTCACTCCTATTGACCCGCTTACAAGCAAATAGTGAGCGACCAGCGTAGCAATATGTAATCGGTGAGCGAAGAATGGTACCCCTCTGCATGCACTCAGCCACCCAGCATTCTGTGCCGGTTCTGGCTCACAAGTGCTCTGCACCACTATTTCCCCGCACGTGGTGCTAGAAAATTGATACCCAGCAGAATTACAGGGGGAGTCTCGGACGTCATAGCGCTGATTGAACATGATCCCCCGATTCTCCAGCGGAATGCCGACGACAACTTTGAACCCGAATCCGAGTTGGACACACCCTTTTGCCCCTTTCAACAGTGACCCGGTCAGCCACTTCATCTCTCGTGGTTGGATTCAAAGAGCAAATGGACGCAAATTCGCTTTCAAGAGCCCGGCAGATGACATGGCTTGTACTATAAGTCTTTGTGGCGTCGTGCGGCAAGCCACACTTCTTGCTATCCCAAAGCGAAGAATCTCATCTTATCTTTTTGGAATTCACCAAAAAAGTGCCTTGTCAGCTCGAAGGCTCTTGGTCGGCAACAAGGCCTAGGGACACTCCTGATTGGTTCCAACGAGCAGGAACAAGCATCATGGGGCCCCATGAACAGGACCCTCCGCCACCCATGGTCTTGGCACACGCAAAAGAGAGCACCTGCAGCCAAAACCCGCGCCGCCTGCTTTTTGTGGCTCTGTCATGTCATGCTCTGTGAAACATTCTCCAGGGAACATATAAGGTATCAGGCCTGCATGTCACTTTGCGCAGTTAACCAACTTTTAAAAAAGCTCGTCATCTATATCAGCCATATCTGCAAGTAGACTTGACACCTGCAAGTTAGAGGCCGCCTCGCAATCTCATTCGCATTTGGAAAAACTACTTTACTAGCTACACGTCAATTCACCCACACGCACGCATCACACATACCTACTATGAAGGTTTCCACGTTTTTGTCGGCGCTCCTCGTCGCCGACGCGACAGTACACGGTCTTGTGTCACCATCAATTGGGGAGATTGCACAGCATGAGCCAGTACGACACAGCGAGCGCGACACGCATTCTCATGATGATAGCGAACTCTGGAAGCGGAGAGGCGGAGGCGGTGGAGGTGGTCGCGGCGGCGGCGGCGGTGGCGGGTCATCGGGATCGTCAGGGTCTTCGGGCGGCGGTTCTTCTGGTACCTCGGGCTCGGGCTCTACCGGCGGCGGCGGCAGTTCTGGGTAAGTTAGATGTTGTTTTGGTATTTTTCTTAACCTACCGTGAATGAATGGCCTGATAGTGTTGGGCTCGGTTTTGGGTGAAGATCCAGCATCAGGAAACCTTCATCCGCGAAATCTACTCCTTCGTCGACGCAAGCCTCCTGGTCAAATGTCTGGTCTTGGCCAACCTGGACCTGGGGAGCTGGATCTTCGTCGTCGACGTCGGGATCGGATAGGGCGACATTTCCGTACCGAAGTCCTGCGTCCACTACTGGGGTTCCTCATCATTGTAGCGTCTCTCATTCTTGGATTCCTTCGGCTCGACTAACACACCACAAAATAGGACAAGAGGCTCTCCTGGCTTCAACTCGGGCGGCCGGACCTCAACCGGAACCGGCCCAGCACCCGCATATGGCGGTGGCACATACTACGGCGGTGGTGCCGCAGTGCCTTATAGGGCTGGTAGATCTTCGCCCACCCGCGGCGTTGCCCCCCTCTTCTTTGGAGCTGCTTTCCTCGCCTTCTGGCCTGGCCTCTGGCTGACCAGCGCTTACTTGTACCGCCGTCCCGAGGGCTACACTTTCCACAACGTCACCACCGACCGGAGAGAGACCAAGCCTGTGATTTGCGCCTGCGCCGAGGACAGCGTCTGCGGCTGTGACGACAATGACGACGAGCAGTACATGAAGGACTTGATCGGCAACGGAAGCTACGCGGCCCTCGACAAGTCTGTGATTGACGTCGCCAATGTCAACGGAACCAGCACGATTCTGATCAACGGTACTCTTCCGGATGGCACCACTGCTCCCGGCGGCACCGACGCTCCTGGCTCTGCTGCTGGTGATGGCCTGCGTGCTCTTTTGGAGAATGCTGGGTGGTGGCCAGTCGTTGCTACTGTTGCTGCTGTTGTCTTCACTGCTTAAAACGTTGTTTTCGCGCGGATACCTAGATTTCGTTCACTTGTGTTTTTGTACCATTTTTTGTAAGGGAACGAATGGGCACATGTAAAAAAAGGGACAACAACATAACGTTCGCTTCTCTGTTGAATATGGCTTTTTCAGGGCGTTTATATGGGTTTATTCCGATACCCCAGGGGGGAGAGAAATAAGGGCTTTATTCGATGCATATATGCGTAATGATAGATACGATAATTATATATATACCACGCTCACTTTTTACACCATAATCATATGTGGCTTAACTGTTGATAGATACCAGATATGGACAACGGTATCGGTTCATAGCCGACGCATAACGCATTCCATTCCTGACTCTACCACCAGACAATTACCGCCCAGCACTTGAAGATTTTGTCACATCCTTTCAGATATCAATACCGACAGTCGAATACTCCGACACGAAAAAGTTCGCTCACACAGGCTTATTACTCAATTTTACAGGTTCATCTTTGTTCTTGTCGCAAAACTAAAATTTCATATCACTCATTTCCGCCTCCTTCCCAAACCCCGCCGTGCTCAAAGTGTCTGACCCAGAGCGCCCTTGCAATGGAAATACACATGGGCAAAGAAGTAAAAAGTAGGCAGTTCATCAAGGTTTTCTAAGGTGGTGAAATTAAAAATAAAAAAAGCCGTAAAACAAAGGGTATCTGACAAACAACGAGGAATTATGTAGTTGAATAAATGGTAGTAGTAGGTAGGGTGGTAGATTTGCGCAAATTGTGGGTTGGTTCTCTGCGGTAGAGACTGACGGCGCCTCGAGTGTTGAGTTGATGAAAAGGCGGCTTCGCTCGATTCAGGGGTATTGAATCCGAGGTTCTTCTGAACAAAGTGATGTTTATGCGACGCAGCCACAAGCGAAATCCTCTTCGGCCGACACACACCTGGCCGCGACCTGGTTTTGTGACCGGGATCCCAATCTCCCCGTCCTCGGTATGACCAACGAGGGGGCTGCCCCCATTATACCACAATGGAAACATTCTTCCTCGTGTCGGCATCCTCTAGCTGACACCCGAAGACAAGCCGGTATAGATCCCTCAAAAAGTTATACTGGCCTGATCTGATCATCATCCACCCGACGCTCTTGGCCACTTCCACAGCGTTGAACCGCTTCCCACGGGCGGGTAATGTGGCCGGAGAGCGGAATGACGCATCTGCTAACACGAGATTCTTGTAATTCTGCAGCAAAGAGATTTGGTTGGGCAGCCCACCAAAGGAGTGCTGAGGGAGGTCGTTGACGAATGATTGTAGAGCGGATGGCGCATCTGCCCCCGGTGCACTGCGGTCAAAACCAATGTTGAGTGCCGCCTTCACGACGAGGGCTTTGATGCGGGTGATGTTGACATCTTCTATCGTCGTCGCTGTGGTGGCCGTGCTGGACGTGTTTTGGCTGTAACCAGACAGGTTCGAGGCATTGCTCGACCAACGCCCCCCACGATCGCTGCGAGAGTCCGACGTCCCAAGCACAAGAATGTTGGGCATCTGTGGGCTGGCGTCGGGTGAGATTGGTGTATCTTCAAATTCAGTCACTGGAGTTTCGGGTACGACGGGTCGTGCGCGAGGTCGCTCAAGTTCACCCAGGCTCCGCAAACTCTCCCGTTTCGAGCGTAGAGAGGCACGGCTTCCGGCATTGGAGCGCTCGACTTCAGATTGGTGACTGCTCATTTGCAGGCCAAAAGTTGGGTTGGCCGCGAAAAAGTTGACCTGGTTTGGTCTCGGTGTACCGCGATCTGGTCGAACCTGTGTCCAGCCCTCACGGAATATGTCGCACAGCTCCCAACAAGCCTGGACGGCTGAGCCAAGGAGTTCTTCGTCGGGGGCCTTTCCGTCTCTTCGGTTTTGCCGAAGGCTGAAGAGCATCTCAGCCAGCGCCCAGCATGCCCGTAGCAACGAGTCGGTTTCTTCGGCCAAGTCGTTGCGTTGCTTCATCAGTCGGTGACACAGGGTGATGTAGAAATCCAGTGTTCGCTCCCGGAAGGCTTCAGGGAGCGTTCGGCTGTCCTGAGCGCTGTATAAACTGTGTCATCTTGTTAGACATGATATCCCCGTCACCAACAAAAAGAAACGTACTGATTGTTGAGCTCAAAGCTGACCCTCAGGATCGAGTCCGCCGTCTCATTGGTCCTTTGCCTCACATCAAAGAGTGACTGACAAAAGTCCCGACATAGATCTAGATTGGTCCGCACTCCAAATGACTCTGAGACGTCGTCTCGGCTGTGATATAATCGTTTGCAGAGCTTCCAGCAGCATTTCCATGCCCTTTCGTGGGCATCAGGAGTGCCAGAGCTGTGGAAGACTTGCTTTCGGTGAATCGAACTGAGGTTGGCGAGAGTATTGCATAATGTCCAGCACTCCTCAAGGGCCGCTTTAAGTGCTTTCACTTCGGTATCTTGGCCTCGTGTGGGATTGGCGAATTCGTCCGCGTCTTCAAACTCCTCGTCCCCGTCATTCTCAATGATTTCGGGTATCACTGCACAACGAATTAGCATCGAGTTTGCCAGTGGTGTCTGTTTGTCCACTCTTACATTCAAGGCTGCTAGCAGTGCTGGATCGTGTTTTTGTAGATTCATTGGCGTAGACATCTTCCAATTTCTGGGCCTGAGGTGTCGGAGCATCAAGATTGAATGACACGGGTCGTACTCTGGTGTTAACCATAGGGGGCGACTGGTTTAGCGAATGCCTTGTCTTTGTACAGAGTTAGCACCATGTTTAGACTGCCCTCACTCAACAGGACACCTTACTACTACAGTTGACGGTTCGCTAGGCGGCGGACTGGCACCGCTACTGGCTATACTCGCACCGCTCACAGAGTTCGAAACACTTGATCTCGAGGTAGTATCACCGGACTTCTGGCAAGATCCAACGTCAGCTTGGGTCATCCTATCATCCATTTGCCTTGAGCCTTCATACCCAGTCTTGAAAATTTGGGGGCGCGTGTATCACCGAGACGACCTCTTCACTTCCGGATTTTCGTACATGATCCGGAATGTTCGTTTTCAGCATCAACAACTGGCAACCATTAGTTATTATGACCGGCACGATATCATACAAAAGGCATAGACAAGGTCCACAAACCGAATTGCGCCCAAACCCGGTCGCTTCTTCAGTGTCTTCCACCTCTTCGTCCTCAATTTCCGTAGTCTCGGTTCCGTTCGAAGTCACAGGTGAAGGGCCAACAATATCGCTGCTCGGGCTCATAAGATGCGCCGAGCTTGGTCTCGTAAAAGAATTTGGACGAAGGGCTTGGGAGTCAGGGCCGGACGAGGAGCTGGGAAAAGATAAATGTCAACCAACAGGGTTCACCAATTCGGGGTTAGCTGGGAAGGGATATCATACGCCATATATTGGGACGTCAGCGCAGGGGACTCTCGTCCAGAGGAGAGTGCCATTTCGGCGTATGAAGGGTATATCGACCTGATGCTTCCCGTTGATGTCCTCAGGGGAGCTTCAAGAGCCATTGCAGCCACTTCCGACCCAATGCGCCGCAGTGAGCCGAGGTGTAGATCTCGCTAACCCAGTCAACGGCCAGGCCAGCAGTTATCAGTCGTTGGTTAAAGGGTTTGCCCCAAAACCGAGACGGCAAGGCAAGCAGTAGGCAGCACAGCACGACTGCGCTTAGGAAGAAAAATATCGGAGAACCTGTGCGCGGTTGTTGGCAGATGCTGTGTGTCGACAATTAGGCGCGCAAGTAGGTATCGGGATACAGCATTGCACGATGCGCCGGGAGCTGAGCTGAGGTATCTCTGGTGGGAGAGGGCGTTCCTTAAGGAAGAAGGATGCTTGGGGGTGGCCAAGGTCCCGAGCACCAAAGGCAAGCCACCGTGGGTGTTTCCTTGCAGCACGATGGATCACCGGCGTAGGGCTTCAGCCTGATTGGGACCGAAGGGGAGGCCGATGCGGGCTGTCTTCTTGCTGCGGGGAACAACACACCAGATACCACGACAACCAACACGCCGACCAGGACGCAGCCGGTAGTGCAGCTTCTAGACAAGCTTGGGAAGGATGGTGATAGCTTGGAAGTGTCCGCGTGGGGAGCCGTAGAGCTGTCAGCCAGTGGTTCATTCAAAGGACATCCGGTAGTGGTCAGTGGCAGAGGGGAGGAGAGTGTGCAGTGCGGTTAGAAGGCAGCACTCTGGCTGGGGCAGAGACCAAGAGAGGCGTGTCGTGCTGCGGGAAGCCAGGGTCTGGGAAGGGCGTCTTGCCCAACAGGGGATAGACCAAACCGCCAACGGACCTGCAGGTGCTGGCTACTGCTGCACAGTAACAATTCGAATCCTACGGCCAAGGGTTTCTATCTGTCGACCTGGATGTTGTATTGCTCGCCCAAATTGCTCTTTGCACATGACGGTGATGGCCTGTCTGTTGGAGGCGCACCAAGAGTGATTACACGGCGAAGGCGAGATTGAACCGGCCTGGTGTAGGCCATCCTCTCCCCTCTCAATATTTCTGGATAAGGCTGACAATACTGATGTCAAAAAAGTTCCCATCCCGCACACACCCAATGCGCGTGTTTTGTCTCGGGCCAGTCAGATGATGGCGACGGCGCCCCTCACTGCCGATAAACTGCATGGCGATGAAGTCGGCGCTTAAAACGTCGTTAGGCTCGCGTTCCCAGCAAGTCAGGGGGCACCATTCTCGACCCCCCCTGCTCCAAACTTCTCGGGATGAGGGGCAGCTTTCTTGGCCAATAGGATTGCCGTTGGGTTCCCTAGATCACCACTTTGTTCCCAGCCAGCTGGGAGTGCTTTGGACGAGCTTCACTTGTTTCGTTTGGCTTTGGTGATCACGGCCAATGGCAGTTTGGCACGCAAGCACAGACGAGATCTGTATACGGGTGGTTGCTGATGTCCCTTGGTACCACATGGTTCAGGTAGGACAAGCCGCGCTCGACAAACATCATCGAGTATCACTGCAAGCACCACCCTTCCGTGATGGAGGGGGTTATGTTGAACCGAAAGGTGACAAGTGTACACCTAACCTGATACTCGGTCATATCGGCATTGATTTTGCAAATGAGTGAGAGGATGGATCTGCGGGGGCCATGAAACTTCTCGTCCGCATAGGCACAGTGTGCTGTTACCTTGACTTGTTATCGGGACGGCCGAGAAAAAGGCAGGCCTGTTCCATGGGTACAAAACTTAGAGACGGCACTGAAGCATCGTCTCTCAGTAGAGGCGGTGAATCAATCTCGGCAGAGGAAAGTGTGATGAAGCTCTGCAAAGGCATGATGGCGTTGGAATTGAGATTCTGATCTGGGCTGCAGCATGGCCACCCACACAAGGACAACAGGAAGAACACCACCACGGGCAGCAGGGGCCGGACCGTGTGTGGGATCAATGAATGCGCGCCTCTCATAGATTGTAGGAGTTGTAAGTGCGCTGTGTTTTGTGAGGGACTTTGAGTGCTGGCAGCAATGGTAAGATACCCTACTCATGACAGTACATGAGGTCTGCCAAATGCGGCTAACATTAACTTCTCTCTTTAGATCCTTCATCTCCACCAACAGCCTCCGCGCTTAGGATCCCTTTCCCTTCATGGATTCTGCAGAGTGATTGAGACAAGAGAGGAAACTATACTCCTTTGACTCACAAGCCTGCAGAACAACCGCGATTAGACGCGGCAACGGGCGCTTAGACGCCACGACGACGCCTTCGGACGAGATGCTATGGTTGCACAGGAGGTTCTGGCCGTTGTCGTGTAATGCACGCGTCGGTCTGTAGGAAGCAGAAATGGAAGGCTTGCTCGGGTCCACGACCTCTTCTCTGTTGGTGGAGGGGTCTGTTGCAGTTCGGGAAGAGGAACCAACAGCATGAGCACCTCTTGCTGACCGAGATTATCTCACAAATCTGGTATGGGTTGCATAGACCGGGGTAAAGTGGTACATACTGCATTTTCTAGAAGAAGGACAGCGCGGGAAGGATGAGGCACGGGTGAACCTTCCTAGTTGCCCAGCACTGTGTCCGAGAAGGCTGCGGTGAAATGATAAAAGTTCCTAGCTTAACAACTTCGTTGGTGGGATAAAAGGGCTGCTGATGTCCACCCGAGTCTCATCTCGAAGTGAGGATGGGAAGTGGATCCCCGTCATCAAGGATGGGTGATGTGCCATGAAGAACTGTATTCCCAAAGTAAGTGTGTAAGTATGTCTCTGGAACAAAGGCAGAGCTTCTAGTACGACATAACGACATGCAATCTGCTGGTGGCATTGCACGGCAAATACAATTGACAGTATGTCTGCTCTATTCCCTTAGTTGAGCGTCGGCCAAGTCCATGTGCGTGAAACTGTCGTCCGCTTTTACCATTCTTCACCAAAACATTTCTCGAGGTTCTCTGTCTAAACATTTTAAAAGCATGCTGCCGCCCCCCTCGCGCATCCAAAGCAAGTCAACCCTGACGCCTCATCCCCATAAAAACAATCTTTTTCCCGCCCCAAAATAAAATGGTTGAGACCAATATGCCCCTGCTGCCTGTATAACCAACCCATAACGCCGGACGAAAATGCATCTAAACGGGTGTTGTCTATTATTCCATGTGACCAGGATTGGCCATGCTGAGCTTCTTGCTGTTGCGGCCATCGGGAGTGTACCTAGAGCGAGGGTGTCAGCCAAATCCAGTCAGAAAAGTGTGCCCGAACAAAATTCGTACTTCAGAAGCTTCTCGATCAAGTCAACGTGGGTCATGACCATGCGACGGCAGCAGTAGCGCTTGCAGCCGAGCTCATCAAGGGCCTCTCCATCGGCGAGCCCTCTGTCCTCGATCAAGACAACGAACTTTTCCCAAAGGTCACCCACGACCTTGCCACATGAGAAGCAGCGAACCGGAATAATCATTTTGTCGAGAGTGTAAATAGATGCGCGTCGAGCTTGGGTGGAGTCTAATGTGAAAGGGTGTTCCGGAAGATGTTTCTTGAAGCCGGAGAAGTTGATGTATTGGGAGCCCTGGGTTTTGCGGTGGGAGATGCCGGCAGAAAAGTGTCGGTCAGTGATGACTGGGCAGAAAGTGGATGGATGCGCTGAAGTTGTCGCGACGCCTGCCGAGACCTCTGAAAGTTGCCGCAAATCTTTGTCTCAGGGACAGGGATTGGCTCGTGCTTATCGTCGATAAGCAACCGGCCCCACTGTAACTTTTTTTGCGACTCCGCCAAAATTTCTTCCGCTTAGTCGCAATTGGCGACTGGACTGGGCGTGCGAAGCTTGGGCTGTTTGATTCCATTCTCGACATTACAGCATTGATTTCTCGCCGAGATCCCCCAGAAAAGGTCAGACATCAGTTGCTGCCCTATCACACGATGCCGTCAAAAACAGCTACCAACGGCGATAGCGCCTCGTTGAAAAAGCGGAAACGTGAACCAAAAGACGACTCGGCACAAGCGCAGCAGAAGAAGCACCGTCGCAAAACAGAACAGGAGAAGGCAGATGCGTTGAACGGGGAAGGAGCCAACCAAACAAGCCACACAGACGACACAAGCCTTCAGCCGATAAATGGACATTCAGGCTTGCCAGGTGTATCGTCACAGTCACAGTGGAAGGTCCAACCCCCAATGGGCGGCCGGATGCTCAACATTGATCCCATCTTTTCCCCAGACGAGAAGTAAGAATGCCAGGACGGGGACAGCTACTCACAGATTCCATCCTGACTGACATACCTAGGTTTCTCATAATAACCTACAATACTTCGATTCAAGTATTTTCCACCGAAAGCTCCCTGCCGATCCGCCGTATCCCTATCCCATTGACGGAGACGGACAGCGAAAATGCGACCACACCAGCCCATATCGTGGCCACATCGCTGTCCAAGACTCAGGGAGCCTACATTTGGGTTGCCTGCTCTGATGGCCGTATCTGGAACATCAATTGGAGATTAGGCACTGGATCTGACACCCCATTCACCATCACTTCCAGCAACCTTGTCGATATGTCTGTCGATGCGATTGACCTTCCCAATTCCAAAATCGATGTGCTTCTCGTCCTTCAGAACACTACTCCTACCTCTGCGCAAATCGTCGCCCATACGAGGGAGAGCCTGTTAGAAGGGAAAGGGGAGGGGTTGCTTCTTCACAGTTTCGATCAAAGTCCTCAGATGCTTCGGTTCGCTGCTAGTGGGAGGCTGATTGTTGCCGCTGCGAAAACGGCTTTGCACATTGGCTACTTCAAGGCGAGCAAGGTCGCTTCCATCGACACGCTAAAATTCGACTTCCACTCTTTCGACCTTCCCGATATCATCAGCTGTCTGGATGTTCATCCTGTATTGAAGGACAAGAAACTCATCAGAGCTGATGTGGTCGTCGGTTGCGCTCGGGGTGCCATCTACTTGTACAATGATGTATTGTCTGGAATTGCAGAGCGCACCTTGCAGCCTACGAAGCTCCATTGGCATCGGAGAGCTGTTCATAGCGTTAAGTTGTCTAGGGATGGTAAGGACTGCATGTGCTCAGAACCGCTCGCAAGATGCTAATCGATGTCAGGAAACTATCTCATCTCTGGTGGCGCCGAAACTGTCTTGGTTCTTTGGCAGATTGATGCCGGTCGGACGGAAACTCTTCCTCATCTGTCAGCAACCATCGAAAACATCACCATTTCGCCGCGCGGTGCATCGTACGCCGTCCATCTCGACGACAATTCCACCATGGTTCTTTCGACTGCTGAGATGAAGCCGACCATGTATGTTTCTGGCATCCAGTCTCTTGTGCTAGAAGAGACGCCTTCGAAGGAATCCTTGGTTCGTCGTGTCTGGCGGTCAGCCGATGAAATCTCGGCTCCCGTGGTGGCCACATCCAATCCGCGCAACCCTTCTCAGATGTTCCTGTGTGTTGGAAACGGGCAGCAGGCTACACAGGGAGCCGGGACAACTGTATCCGCTCCTCTTGTGCAGGTCTTTGACCTTGCTTCATTTCAGGGTGTGTCTAAGCACGCGATTGCACGCACCAGCTCTACAGAGGCCAATATCACAAGGGATGGCCAGCCAATTATGGAGCCAACGGCCACAAGTCTCTCCTTTTCTAAAGACGGGAAGTGGTTGGCGTCGATCGATGAGTGGCAACCCCCTGAAAGGGACACGGCCGCTTTCTTGACTGGGTCCAAGACTGTTGCCGAGGCTGCTCGGCAAAGGAAGGAGATCTACCTCAAGTTCTGGGAGGTTCATGAGGATAACTCACTTGAGCTGGTGACCAGGGTCAATGAGGCGCATCACACCGATCTTCCTCAAGCTATCTTCGATGTTGCCAGCGACCCAGTTTCCTCCAGGTTTGCGACCATTGGAAACGATGGTGTGGTACGGTTCTGGTCTACACAGTACCGCATCCGAGACGGTCTTGCGGTCAAAGGACATGATGGGGAACCACTTCGCAGCTGGCACTGCTCTCGCGCTGTCACGCTCCCTGTGCGTGAAAAGCAAGAAGACCTGGTTGAGGAGACCAGAAAGGTGTTCCGCAGTGGCGCGGTCGCCTACTCTGAAGACGGGTCGATCCTCTTTGCCGCCTACCGGGTCTCTACCGAGGGGCTTGTTGTTGCCATTGACACACAAACCGGTACGATTCGGGATGTTATCTCAAGTATCATCCGCGGAGAAGTCCGTAGCATCCAGAGTATGGGTTCGTGCTTGATCTTGCTATCCGAGGACATTGCCGTTTACGACACGGTGTCAGACGAGCTGCTGTACAGCTACAAGCTCAAGGATACTTCTCTCGCCGCCAAACGCCTTACTCAACTGGCCGTCAACCACCAGTCACGGACGTTCGCCCTGGCGGCACCTATCCCACACCCTCGGCAGGACAAGCTGAAGAAGGGTGCCAGATCTGAGCTGACGGTTTTCTCACTTGATGACCAGGAACCACAACTGGTGCAACAATTCCCTCATCTCATCACATCTGTATTGGCTGCTCCGGGGTCATCTGGTTTCGTGGTGGTTGATTCCGCGGCTCAGATCTGGGCTGTGACCGACGCTGTCGAGCAGCCACTGATCCTCAAGCCTATGGACCACATGACCATGGATGACACAGTTGAGACGCAACCTGTGCAGGATGCGTTGGTCTTGCAGGATGAAGAAGTCAGCGATGAAGAGATGGAGGATGCGGATCCGATGGAGGTGGATGACGACGATCATGCAGCCGTTGTAGCCCAACAGCACGTGGTCCAAGCCTTCAATGTCGCGCCCACATTCGCGCTCGCCCCTCTTGACGGCAGCTTCTCCCAACTGGCGGCGATGTGGTGCGCGAAGCCCACCTCCTCGGAGTGATTTCGACATCTCAGTCTACGAACAGGACGTCGAGGCACACGCAAATGCCCCTCCAGAAACAGCTCGCGCCATTGGAGAGCAGATTTATCTAATCAAGAGGTTGGAAAGGAAATAAGCAAAAGTGGCTTGGGCCCAGAGTTGTAGGCCATAATACGAAATCGGTATGGTTTTGTCCGGTAAGGACCCATCCGTAAGCGGGAGGGAAGGGCGCAGTACGCCCGGCATTTGGACCAAGCCGGCCCGAACATGGAAGCTTCAAAGGAAGGGAATGGGTATGGCGTGCCGTTGGAGAAAGGGGGGTAAACCCGGGCTTTGTGACCCGCACCCCGTGAGTAAATGCGGGGCTGGGTATGGAGCAGCTCCGATGTCGACCGATTACGCCATTTTGAGGGTGATGGGAAACATGACCTGACATCGGACAGATGCTAAGGAAGCTAGAGATATAAGTGTAGCTGCATATTGTATCCGATTGGATCATTAAGATACCCTCTTGAAACATTCATTCTGTAGGCCGGTGGTCTATTTATAAGCAGTCTACTTTTTCTTTGGCGTGTTTTCATTCTTGACTCTTTGTTAAGACGTTTCCCTCTCAGACACGGAGATACAGGCGGCTCTCACATATCACTCTAATCCTCAGTGACGATCACAATGTCCTTTACATCCATCCCCATCCTCGACCTGGCTCAGGCCTCAGACCCAGCGACGAAACCGCAGTTCCTCGCCGAGCTGCGCCATGCCCTCATGGAAGTCGGGTTTTTGTATCTTAAAAACGTCGGCATCCCAGATGAGCTCTTCAAACAAGTCATCCGCGAGGGCAAAGCCTTTTTTGACATTCCCGAAGAAGAAAAGTCCGTTCCCCTTCTTCTCCCCTTTTATCCTCTCTCTCACATATAACTAACCAGAGATATAAGACTCAAAATCGAAATGAAAAACGCCCCCTCCTTCCTGGGCTACTCCCGTCTCTCTGCCGAGATCACCGCCGGTGGGATCGACCACCGCGAGCAGATCGACTTGTCTACTGAGCACCCCCTCCCCGGCCCCGACGCCCCCTTATACGACAACCTCCTCGCGCCTAACCAGTGGCCCTCTTCATCCATCTTGCCCAACTTCCGGGAGACATTCACCGAGTACATGAACCGCATGGGGGAGATATCCATTTCCTTCACCTCCCTCATTGCCGAGGCCATCGACCTCCCTCCCGACGCATTCAACAAGTACTTTGACGGCCCTGGCTTCGGCGGGAGACAAAACCAAACGCAGCAACACAAGCTCAAGATTGTAAAGTACCCCGACGTGGGCACGTTGGGGAGCGGGAAGGGAAATCAAGGGGTTGGGCCGCACAAGGATAGTATGCTGAGTAGTTACTTGCTGCAGGCTAGTCAGCACAGGGGATTGCAGGTGCAGAATATGAGGGGGGAGTGGATTGATTGCCCTCCTATTGACGGGACGCTTGTCGTGGCGATAGGGCAGGGGCTGGAGGCGCTCACTCAGGGGGTTTGTGTGAGTACTACGCACAGGGTCTTGTCTCCGGAGGCGGGCAAAGGGGCGAGGTATAGCATTCCTTTCTTTCAGGGCGTGAGCGGGGACGCAGAGTTTGAGGATTTGGAGAATGTGGGGGTGGGACAGGTGAAGGAGGAGATCAAGGAACTGAGGAGGAGGGTGCTGGAGGAGAATGGGGGAAGATTGGATGATGTTGAGTTTACGTTTAGGAAGGGAGGGGTGGCCAAGACGTTGGGGGAGGCGACGTTGAGGAACCGGGTCAAGAGCCATCAGGATGTGGGTGAGATTTGGTATCCGGACATTTTGGAGAGCGTGAGGGCTGAGCAGGCTGCGTTGGCGAGGAAGAAGAGTCCCGTCGTGGAGGCGGTGCCCATTGTAGGCGAGGGGAAGGCTGTGGAGGCTCATTAAAGGACTGGTGCCTTTAGTTTGGAGTTTTTGGGTTCAAGGGAGTACAGCATAGCCTTGGTTTTCATCATGGAAGTTTTTTCACAGCAGTCTCATACCAAAACGTGATCCATATCATGCCTCTGTTTCTTCTGGACGAGCTAGTGCCTATGGCCAGAAAACTTCCAGTCAGTCATGCCCATCCAGAACCAGGAGGATGCCCGTCAAAAAATCCAAACCATATCCCGAATATCAACCTCGTTACGCCAGTTCGCTGATGCCATCACGCCTGCTGCGTCGCCCATCATGCCCATACCCTACGCCTAGCTTTGTCCCATGCCTGTCTGTTTGCCTAGCGCGGCCCGCTTCGCCATTTTTTTTTGTTTGTTTTTATGCAATGTTGGTCATTGATCGTTCAGATAGTAGACATTTCCTACTCCTTGTACTCGGGGAAGCACTGCTCAAACGTGTGTTTCCCGGCGTGCTTGCCGCTGCTGGAGTGCTGCTCGAGCTGGGGCTTGCGGGAGGTCGAGAGGAAGGTCTGCTTGCAGATGTTGCAGATGATGTTCATGGCCTTCTCGTTCTGTTTATCGAGTATCACATCAGCAATCTACTTCTTGTTGCCCACACCAGACACGGAGTACCTACGCTCTTGAGCTGAGAAGCGGCCTTGGGGGCAGCATCCTTTGCGTTGCGGGCACGCTTCTGCGCGGCCTTGGCTCCCTATATTGACTTTCTGTCAGTACCTTATTCCGCTGTACCACGTAGGTTTGAAGGGCCGAGCGGGCAAGAAACGGGGATGAGGATCTGGGGGGGAACGTTTTGGGGCACATGTCGGGGGACGGAGGGGATGCAAGAGGATCTGCACGTACGTTACCTCCACCCATTTTGTCGGTTTGGGTTTTCTTTACGGGTAAAAAAGTTGGGTGAGGAGTAAGGGTTGGTCCGTTACGGAAGTACGGTGAAGGCTATGAAGTCTGTATGTTTTTTTCTTCCTTTGCGGTCAGCGGGTAAAAGAGGCGCGAAGGTTAGAGAGAGTCTTTGGAATTCCAGTCAGCAGCTACAAGTCCCGCCGCCAATTTTTTGACTGGAGCCTGAGGTGGGCTCGTGGTCGAAGTGGGCTGGATTGATGGGTGCACGGACCAGTCTGTCGTCTTGCAGCTGCCAACGGCCCAGTGACGGGCAACTAGATTGATGATTATCAGCAGGGGTTTAAGTGCTTGGTACAGAAATGAAGAAAGACCCTGAGTGAGAGAGGGGCCTTTTGTGATGTTGCATATCTTTCCATGAGAGTGTGCTTTTATACTCGGGTTGAATGATCTCCTTCATCTTCGTCTTCGGAACCTTTTGAAACAGTTTCGGGATCTCGTTGGCGTATTTTGAAGCCTCCTGTTGTCATCATTTTTTGGTGGTGTTTGATTACACCACTGACGCGCTTCTCATCGCGTCTCGTCAATCGACACCGGCACACCTTCCACATCTTCCAGAAACCCTCCCCTCGTCGGTTCCTGCATTGGTCTCGTTAATCTTGGGTTATCTCCCGCTTAGCCGCCGTTTCGCAAACCCGTATTAAGAAAAAACCAGCATCCCTCTCCCGGTGAAGCGCCATCATCATCCGACTCGGTGTCATTCTCACTCTCATCGCCATTGTGGGCCGAATCAGGAAAACGTTTCGTTCAACCTCATTGCTTGGGTCGTGTTCTTCAACTTTCTCACTCGGAAAAAAAAAATCTCGGTTGATCTGGCCTTAACTCGGGCGTATTGCTGGTCTTCGCATCGACGAATACCGTATCAACGTATCAACGGCACGAGCTCCCGGACAGCGACCCGTCGGATTGAGCCTGGTGGATCTCGCGGATCGCGACCGTTGTTCCTGCGATACAACCCTGGCCCGGCATCAAGACCGCAATCTGTACCAAGAGCCGCAATGGGAAGCTCGACCATCCCGTCTGCGGATAATATAACCGACAGCGAATTTCATGAGTACCTTAGCAGATACCCGGCCTGTCTTGAGGCTATTTCCAAAAGCAAAGGCAGTAAGTCTCTGACAAGACTATTCCGGTCAGAGTTGCACATGGACTAATACAGCCTTGTAGCCAAAGAAGGCCAAAAGTCTCTATCTGAGCTTGATGCCTATCGATATGGCGAAGCCCTTGAGCAGTTTGGCCAGGAAAAGCCCAAACAAATGACAATTGAAGATGTCAAATTGCTGGTCGAATGGAAGCTGTATGTGTTTCTCGTCTCCAGACTTGTCGTCATCCAATGTTTTGAACAATGCTACTGCAGTTGTGGGGATGGTGTTTCTTTGGTCTCATTTACTGTTACCGAGAGTTTGGTATCATCACAGTGGGACTGACTTGAGTGACAGTCGCCATGGGAAATTCAGACCCTCTCTCATGAAGCTCGTTTCATCAAACGATCCCAAGACTTTGAAAGAGACAATACGAAAGGCCGTAGCTCAGTACCACCAGGCCAAGAAGCAGTGGCCTCAGGCCCTAGATATTCTCACTCAGCTCAAGGGCATCGGGCCGGCCACCGCCTCGCTACTACTTGCTGTTCACGCTCCAGATAACATCATCTTTTTTGCCGATGAGGCCTTTTATTGGCTGGAATATGATGGGTCCAAGGGACCCATCAAGTACAACAAGAACGAGTACTCCCAGTTGACTCTGAAAGCCCAGGCCTTGGCGAAGAGGCTTGGTGTGAGAGCCGTCGATATAGAAAAGGTGGCTTTTGCCATTATGAGAGGCGACCATACCCAAGCCTCTGGAAAGGCGGCTGCCACGGCGGAAAAGGCAGAGGAGAACGACAAGGGAGCGGCAACGGACCAGGAAGACAAGCCGGCAACCAAAACAGAACCCGAAGAGAAAACCACCAAGTCTAAGCCACCGGCCAAAAGGAAGACTTCCGGTGACAATGCCGACACTAACGTCCCTATCCGCCGTTCCAAACGAGGGAAACAAGCTTAGAAACGAGATCACGGAACCAGAAAAGGACAACACGCGGCGCGAATCGGCATGTCGGGACAGATCAACAGTGCATTTGGGTTAAAGCCCTGATCCCTGCTCTTATCAGAGGCTCTTTTCAGCCCTGCAAAGGGAAGCTAGGGACTTGCGGGCATTGCAAGCGAGACGTTAGCAGAGCTTTGGGAAATCAACCAAGACAGTTGTTTGGATCTTTGCCTTTGGTTTTGGGTAGGGGTGCTTAAAATTCCCCTATTGGGGGGACCATCGTAGAATTTACGTGGGGTGTCTTGTCCGGCCAGACGGCCCGTCTCTGCGCTTTGCGGTCCCCTGGTAGGGAGACAGGGACATGGCTCAAACGACTTACACCTTTTTGGTTTCCACTTTCGGATCTTGATGCATCGACAACCGTCTTTCAGACCTGGAGCAATGCCCACACCGAGGCAAGCAATGGAAACCACGCCGTATTCGTCACCGTTGTCGACTGACAATGTGTATATCTCTGCTGCTTCTTGCAGCTGCTGAATACATACCGGGTCCTTCCCACTCTTTCCTGCATCCAATATGCGCTCCTGAATTGCAGCTGCACCTCCTCCCGTGTTGCTATGTTATTCGCGCGCATCCCCCGACATGGCCATTTCTATAGGGCCTCTTCCGATCTCCCCAGTCTCCTCGAGCCATTCACCCCCGTCGAGAAAGGATGAGATGCTTTCACGATCATACTCCGAGCCAATACCCCTCCCGCGGCGGTTTAGTGTCCTGAAGGAAAGATTAGTATCCGGAAAGGAATCGACACTTGTGCCCTCATGGCAGCGCCTGATACAGACCCTCTCGGACGAGGTTGATCGTGTATCATCTTTGGGGTCACAGGCTGTCCCCACCATCGACTTTTCCAACATCAAGAACCCCGGGGTGGCCGAGGTCTTCCGGGAAGGCCTTCGACAGAGAGGCGTTGCTATCATACGCAATGTGATACCACGGGATACTGCGGAGGACTTGTACCAAGGAGCTATGGGGTATCTTGACGAAAATGCAGAGAAAAGGCCAAGGACTCCTCAGGAATCTGACCTACAGGAACTGTATTGGAGTGCAGCTCAGATCAAGGCAAGGGGACACCCCAATGTCTTGGAAGCTCAACGTTTTGCCATGGGGTTATGGACTTCGAAAGATCCAAAGGCGCGGGTGACCACGAATTTCCCGATCACTTATGCCGACCGAATCAGGACAGGTCAAAAGACGGCAGACACGAGGTCCCCCGCGGCAGCTCATATTGATGGCGGCAGTGTGGAAAGATGGGAGACGGACGGGTATGGAAGGGCAGGCACCTACAATGAGATATTCCAGGGGCAATGGGAAGATTACAACCCATGGGAGGTTCGTCAATTACCGCGTTCCATCATTTCTTGCACCACCACTAACCTCACGTACAGAGCAGCACCCGTCTGACAGTAACCTCGGACCTCTACCACAAAGCCGGCGCATGCTCCATCTTCAGGATGTACCAAGGCTGGCTCGCCTTATCCCCGGGGCCCTCCTCCATGCGCGTCTGTCCTTTGCTCAAGCACGCAACAGCTTACTTCCTCCTCCGCCCTTTCTTCTCCCCCTCTTCTTCTTCCTCCTCCTCCCCGGAATCAGAAAACTGGGCATTCACACCCACAAACTCCATCCTCCACGGCGCCCTCCCCTCCTACGCCCAGGAAATAAACTCGTCCATCCACCCCCACCTCCAGCTCCGCCGCTCCCTAATCGACATCCCCGACCTCTCCCCAGGCGACTACCTAATCTGGCACCCCGACCTCATCCACTCCATCACCTCTTCCTCCCCCACCCCCTCAGCAAGCGTGATGTACCTCCCCTGCGTGCCCCTAACCCAAACAAACGCCCTCTACCTCTCCCGCCAGCGGAAATCTTTTCTCCTCGGCTGCCCCGGCCCAGATTTCTTTGACGGGTGCGGCTACGGGAGCGGTCACGGCAGGGGAGAAGCACACTACATTGGCCGTCCAGGCGTCCAAGAAATAAGCGACGCCGGCGGGGAGGAAGGGCTTCGGGCGATGGGCCTGCTGCCTTGGGACGAGGAGGAGGCGGATACGGATTTTGAGAGGGAGGTGCTCGCCATGGCGAACGGGATCTTGTTCCCCGACTTGTATGACATGTATTGAGTACTACTACTTGCATGTCACCACCACCATGTGGGGAAAGGGGCGGTGTGTATGTATATATTGTAACAAAAGCTCTTGTATTAAAAAATCAACTACTTTATAGAGAAAGGAAAAAAGTGGGACAGGAGGGAAACTATTTTGGGCGTTAAAAGGCTTTTTGGACGGATTGTTAGCATTTCTTGGGCTTGCATAGTTATAGACAGCCCTGGTTGGGCCTTTTTTCCTTAGTGTTTGTTGTATATAGATATAGAGAAAAGACACTGGGTTTTCTGCACATCCACAAGTTTCCCTTCCAAATATTACCGATGTGAAAGCTCTTGAGAAAGCCACAGCCACAGGCATGCATATGGATCGCCGTGTCCCAGGATAGGGTTATGTGCTTCGTGTTGAAATACCTGACCAGTACTATTTGCATTGCACAAGACTTTTCCAGTCTTGACCAAACACAGTGCAACCAAGTATCTCTCCGGCAATGTGTGTTTGGTAATCAAGTAAATGTCCCATTCAGAGTAAAACAACCATGAAAGTTCGCCATTAATGAATACACGTAGGTAAGAAAAAGCCCCTAGCCCAACTCCCTCAAAACCATACACACTTTTCAGTCACATCATCCATTCCTTCTCCTCTTACACAATCTCCTCATCTCTAAGGAGACCAAATATTTTCCGACCCTGCCCTCCGCAACCGCACCTCCGCTTCACTCTCATCCTCCTTAAACAAACCCGACGATCCCGATGCCTTCCCAACACCAGAAGCGGCACCAGAGTCAAGGTTCTCCACCCCCTCCCAAAGGTTCAGATCCTATTTGTCCTTCTTGGAAAGCTTGCCATTCTCCTGCGTGGCACCATATCTCTCGGCCAACTCGTCATACTCCCTGTGCAAACCCTCGGACTGCTTCTTCAGGGTAGCAATGTCTTGATCACGAAGCTTGATCTCCCTCTTCAACCGCGCAATCTCACCAGCATCACCAGCCTGTGCGAGCTTCTCGGCTTGCTTGGTGTTCTTCTCGGAGCCCTCGTACAGCTTGACCTTCTCCTCCAGGCGGAGCGTCTCGAGGATCATGATGTAGGTGCGGTTGAGGATGAGGGACAAGAAGAGGGTGAAGCCGCAGAGGTACATGTTGCGCTGCGAGTAAAACTTGCGGGCCTGGACTTCGAGACGCTCGTGTCCCATTATGGCAGTTCTGCTCCTGACTTGATTAGTGTCTGGGGGGGCACAGAAAAATAGGATAAGTGGGGTATAATAGACGTACGCGCTCTGTCCATTGTTACCCTCAGTTGCGGCGGCAAGTTCGACCTGGACGCGGTAGACACGATTCACGCTGTCGATGAACAGGATGAGGATGAAGACAAAGGTGATCTTGAGCCAGTATTGTACTTTTGCGACAATCGGATTCTCGGAAATGAAGCTGGGAAATCAGAGGTTAGCTATACTTCGGCCGATAAGAGGTGAGCTGGATAGAAACATACGTAAAGAGCCTCCTGCGCATCGTAAATGGCAGTGGGACGACCAAGAGCATGAACAAGGCCATCTCTGCTACTAGTAGCATAAAGACCTTTGGCGATGTTAGCCCAGATCCCAGATCAAAAGCGCTGCTGTAGTAGCCAGCTAGAGGGGCATACCAAGGTGTAGTAGAGCGTCATTTTGGCGGCGCTGATGTAGTCTTGGTGGTTATCTCAGTCACTGTAGGAAAAAAGTATAACGTTGAGTATTCCTGTCGTTGATTGTAGTGGATAGATCCGGACAGCTTTGTTGTTTTTAAGAACGGAAGCTCCAGCTGGTGGACTGACAGGTGTGACGTGGGCCTTTCCAAGCTGGAAGCTTCCCTAACCAGGGCTGGAATCGACAACGTCATTGTGTGGCTGAAGCTCAGGCTGAGGTGGCCTGTGCTCCATGCGAGGCGGGGTGATTTCACATGCCGCAAAGAGAAAATGCACCCAACCCTACCCTTTAAACTGATATCTTCCTACCCAGAGAGCAACTTTCAGAAACTCTTTCAAGATGCATCTGTATAATTTCTTTTCAAGGGAGTTTGATGACCGAGGCTCAATATTATCGCGCCGTTTCCTCCGGTTCTAGCCGCTATACCCATCTCCGCGGGGTCTGTGGCTTAGTTTCGTATTTTCTCGAACTTTAAATTTCATCTTCCTCAGCAACTTGAAACGAGCACCCATTCGTTTGTCATGTTACAAACACGGAATCAACACTGTGGCTTTCCCCTTGCCACGCTTTTCAGTTCCCTTTCTGTATCGATACTATTTGCATTTCCCTTCTCTGAGCTTCACGCCCAACAAACTCGGCAGAAGGCTGGATTCACTTCCAAGGCCATCGATTTCTCATCGCAACTCGGAGCTGAACGAAATCCCTAGACTATGACAGCCACCAGCAGTACAGCAGTATTCCTAACATTCTCATTGGCAGGCTCTGAGACATGGGGATAAAGACCATTCTCAGCCCAGCTGGAGCCATGGTTTCCCCACACTCCACCACTGCGGCCTTCACGCATAGCATAATGTCGTCTTAATGCTTCGCCGTCCCTCCCGCTCGGCGACCGACACGGCGTACTCGACAGGATCCCATGAGACCAGTAGGAAGCGGCGAAGTTTCTCGCAGTTACCGACGGCTTGCAGAGTTGAGACATTTGCATTGCATACAAACCCCAATCGGATTAACCTTGTCACTGACTGAGCTAACAGCCTTGAGCGAGCTCGCTTTCTCAGTTCATGACAAGGGCTGAGTCCGACTGTAATGTCCTCTCCGATTGTCACTGTGCCTCTTCATCAAGTCAAAGACTCAAACTGTTCTCCATGAGCAAGACGATAGGATGAAGCCCATGTTTCCAAAAGAGAAACGCCGAGTGGCCATATCCAGCCTACGAGCACTGCACCTTTGCTCTCTTATTGTCTGATTCCTCGTATTAAGCTCCAGACCGCTCCCGTGCTGCACCGCTTTCTTTGATCGTTGCTCTCACAATTATCAAGTCTAGGATACGAAGTCTACAGCCATCTTTTCGGCTTCGGCATCTCACCTTGCTTTAAGAGACCCATTCGCCGGTTCCACTCTCTCAGCTTTCCCAGGTTCCCTTACGTATTGCGATCAGCCTTCTTTTTTAAATTTGTTGTGAGCTCACGACGACTGGATTTTTGTCTCTTCGCCCGTTAATTGTACCAGCAAATCGGCCCAACCAGTCAAGATGCGACTCCCTTCTCTCCTCGCCGTCTGGGCCATCGTGGCAAGCAGCATGGCCGTAGCAAGACCAATTGTCTGCCCAGATGTACGTCTCCCCAGTTCATACACCCCCCAATCTCATGCCTAACTCTTTTGTTTAGCTAAAACGTGACCTTATCCTCAAAGGCGAGCTCGCTCCAGAGGCTTGCTGCTCCTATGGTCGATGCCTGGGGGACGTGGTGATAGCCATGGCTTGATGACATCAGAACCATTGGAGCCAGGGGGGCGGATACGAAGCTCACAAGTTCACGACAGCATCGGAAACACCAACAACATAGCGACTTTTGTTCTTTCACCTTTTACGACAGATACCCCGCAGCTGACTGAGCACGACGGACCCGACATTTCGGAACTCTCTGCACGCCGTGAGACGATCTACATGATATTTTGCTGCACAAACTTGGCTTTTTTTTTGGGGGGGGGAGAAGATGCATAAAGTCATGCATATGGTGATAATAGATGCGAAGGGCATCCATAATTGGCGGAGACTTGAAAGGAAATCTAGGCGGGCATGGTTCCATATTTCTGTGGACGGATTTGATTTCGTTGGACAATATCCTCAACGTGGAAAATACGGTGTAGGAGATGGAGTGTATACGGGTCATCTATTGTATTCTGGAAGATTTTATACATCACGGCAAAAGTCAAACGGTCTCGGCAGACCGGAAGACCACGTTGTATCCGGCAATCCAGACCGAGCCGGATAAGAAGAATGCCAACTGCCATGTTCGGGTTTTCATTATTATTGTTTCAAACCACATGTCGAGGTAGCATTGGTAAATACGATCAAACAAAAGCCACATTTCCAATCTACGTTCGATGGTAGGCGGAAGAACACAGGCCGAGGCGGAAAAATGGTCTGGGCAATTGAGGAGCAAGCCAGCCAGCCCCCCCGAACCACGGAGCGGGGCACGGGGGGGGTAAACAAGAACCGTTGCTTTTGGCCTTCGGCCGCTCCCGAGAGGGTCGATGGTTGTTGAACGGCCGGTGATTGGCGCGGATGGCGAGGGGAGACGTACCGTGAACTGCAGTAGACCGACACACACCACGGCATCCCGTTGGCAACAAGAACGTCGTCGGTGTTGAAGCGGCCGAAGTCATAACCCCGAGAATCTTTTGGACCCCACTTCCCGGGAACATGGCTACCTTGCTTTACTTTCCCTCCTGATCACTTTGCATCATCAAACCTACATCTCGAAGGATTGGTTCGGTAACGAAAGAGGACCTGGGTGTGGGTGAGAATTACCCGCCATTGATGCGTCTAGAACAATTCTTTTCTTTTGTTTCTTTCCCGTGCCAATGTAAGGTTGTGCAGTGGTGGGGGGGAGGAGACGCGGCGGCGTAATGGAAATGTGCATTGGGCGTGCTAGCTTCTAGTGCTTGTGATCGTCCAAGGGGGGCATCATCATCAGATCAGATATCAAAACTGCTGCATCTACCATGGACCGTGGGGGGTGGAAGAGGAGGTGGAGGAGGTGCCACATGAACACACAGGCGGCTGGGTTTGTGACATAGATGGTTCCCTTTTCAAACCCACCTTGCGAGCTTTTGTAGTAAAGTATCTATGGAGGGTTGTAGCGAGATCGGCAGGTCCCATTACACCCTTTGCCTGCCTACAACTCTTATCCGGTATTCGGATTCTTCCGTTTGGTGAACTATATAAGTTGACGGTTGGGAAAAGTTAAACTTACTCGCGTCCCCCTTGTGTTGTGTTTCTCCCGTGCCGTCCCATCTTTGTTCTTCTGAGCACCAGCTCTTATAGCTTAGAGAGCTGTTGCTATCAACCCCGCGATCATCGCCATTGACAAACTCACTTGGCTCAAGTAAGCAGACAGGAAACAGACAAGATGTCGACGACGACGACAACAACCAAAGTAAAGGCCTCCAAGGCCAACATTGGTGTCTTCACCAACCCTGGCCATGACCTCTGGATCGACTCCGCCGAACCAAGCTTGGAAAGCGTCCAGCAAGGCAGCCCAGAGCTCAAAGAAGGGGAGGTGACAGTTGCCATCAGAAGCACAGGTATCTGCGGGTTAGTTCGCCCTCTCTTCTCACCCCCTTTCCGGACCAAGTTCATACTGACATGTCACCGTCTCCAGCTCCGACGTCCACTTCTGGAAGCACGGCTGTATTGGCCCCATGATCGTAACCTGCGACCACGTCCTCGGTCACGAATCCGCCGGTGAGATCATCGCCGTCCACCCCTCCGTCAAGACCCTCCAAGTCGGAGACCGCGTAGCCATCGAGCCCCAGGTCATCTGTAACGAGTGCGAGCCCTGCCTCACCGGCAGATACAATGGGTGCGAGAAGGTCGACTTCCTGTCTACACCCCCAGTGGCAGGCTTGTTAAGACGGTATGTCAACCACAAGGCTGTCTGGTGCCACAAGATTGGGGATATGAGCTATGAGGACGGGGCGATGCTCGAGCCGCTGAGCGTAGCTTTGGCTGGCATGCAGAGGGCGGGTGTGAGGCTGGGAGATCCGGTGTTGATTTGCGGGGCGGGGCCGATTGGGTTGATTACGCTGCTTTGTTGCCAGGCGGCAGGGGCGTGTCCGTTGGTCATCACGGATATTGATGAGGGGAGGTTGAAGTTTGCAAAGGAGATCGCGCCGGGGGTGGTGACGGTTAAGGTTGAGCCTGGGTTGAGCGTGGAACAGCAGGCGGAGAGGATTGTCAAGGAGGGGTTCAATGGTATCGAGCCGGCGATTGCATTGGAGTGTACCGGCGTTGAGAGCTCGATTGGGGCGGCCATCTGGGCCATGAAGTTTGGAGGCAAGGTGTTTGTAATTGGGGTGGGGAGGAACGAGATTCAGATTCCGTTTATGAGGGCGAGCGTGAGGGAGGTTGATTTGCAGTTTCAGTATCGGTATAGCAACACCTGGCCGAGGGCGATTAGGTTGGTGCAGAGCAAGGTGCTGGATATGTCGAGGTTGGTTACGCATAGGTTTCCTCTGGAGGAGGCGCTGAAGGCGTTTAATACGGCGAGTGATCCGAAGACGGGGGCGATCAAGGTGCAGATTCAGAGCTTGGATTAGGTTGGAAGTGAAGAGCGTATGTTGGATAGTATAAGAATTTTATAAGAACTCATGAAGAATTATGAAACAATAACAAGGCTGAAAATGAGAATGGATGCATGTGAAAGTGTATGTGTAAGTGGTTGCTTCAACTGACAGCTCGAGACAGGCACAAAATGACGGTAGCTAAGAAGATATGGTCCGAGCTTCAGTACCAATTCTGGCAGCTGATTGGCTGACATGTTTGCCGAGAAGTTGGAAGTGGCCAGTGCCCGAAGTTCGAAATGTTCCGGAGCTTCCCATTTTTCTCCATCCGCGGGCCCCATTTTATTCCCAGTTGCGCGATATCGTCTTTCGTTCGTTGGAAGCCACCACAACAAACCACCAAAACCCACCCAGCGTCAACGGCCGGCACCACGCACAACCACTCCGAACCCGGATTTTTCACGACCTTCATCCGGCCGCCGTCCAACCCCTCTCTCCCCCCAATTGGCCCTCCCTCGATTCCCAGAGCCGTCGTTCACTCGCACCGCTCGGCCGAACCCCCCGATACCCGAATCGACCTTCTTTTTCACATTCTTTCGCCACACAAAATGTCTTTCGCCCTCCTCTCACGGCGGTCCGCCCTCACCATGGGCCGCCAGATGGTCCGTTTCGAGTCCTCCGCTACACAAAAGGCCGCCGAAACTGCCAAGCAGACTGCCACCAAGGCTCAAGCTCAAGCCGCTGAGCTCTCGGCCAAGGCCCAGGAGGGTCTCTCTCGCGTCACTGCCGCTGCCGGTCCTGCTATCACCAACGCTGCGAAGAACGTCTCGGGTGCGCTGGGCAAGGTTGGCGGGCCCACTGGGCGTCTTGTTGCTTTTGTTGAGAGTATGTCTCCGGGCTGAAGGAATTCGGGCGCATGCTTGGGCGTCAAGGACATATATCATGAGATAACTAACATATTACACCCAGGCAAAACCCCTGCCCTCGTTTACTACACCAAGGTTGGCATCGAGGTGGCCAAGATCGTCTTCCGGGGCCAGAGCATGTCTCCTCCGTACGTTTTCTCCTCATATCAACCCCGCCATATACACAACCCTGGTCCGCTAACATGTGATATTCGATATAGCTCCGTCTCTACCTTCCAGACATACTTCCAGAACCTCTGGAAGCAACTCCAGACCCCCGGCCCCTTCTTCTCCCAGCTCGCCAAGTCCCTCAATCCCCAGCAAGTGCGCAACCTCTCCAGGACACAAGTCGCTGCCGGCGGCGTCCTCGTCGCCGAGCTCCTCGGTTTCTTCACCGTGGGCGAGATGATTGGCAGACTCAAGATTGTCGGGTACCACGGTGGCCAGAAGGCTGATGCTCACCACTAAAGGGTCTTTTTTATTTTTTCTTAGCGCAGGGAGGTGTATAGAGGAGGCGAGGGGAGAGAGAGAGCGAGTTTTGTCACGATTACGAGCAGCCAGGTCAAGAGAGGGAGAGAGAGAGAGAGAGAGAGAGATGGGAACGGGATACCAAAGGAACGGAGAAGGGAAACAAAAAATCCATCGGGCATAGAGATGAGAGAGAGACAGCATGGCGCAAACTTGGGGTATTAGATTTTTATGCCGAATATGTTCGGTTGAAAACTACTACTGTTGCAACCTTTTCCACATTTTCGTCCCTCCCATCATCGGAAGTATGAGTTTCGGGGCAGATGGAACAGGACAAGGGCCATGTACACTACTACCTACGAACTTCCTTTTCTGTTCTCATTTCTCTTCAGCTCTTTTCTGGACAACATAGAGGGCGGCAAGGTAGCGAGCGGAGTGGTAAAAAAGGGGGTTGGATGGGTCAGGAGGGTTAGAACTCTGGGCAATGGTGCCACGGCTCTTGCCTCCTGTGTATTTGTGTCAACACCTAATTTTCATTTGTCTTGTATTTGAACTCTTTGTGTTTGTTGACAGGAGCCGCTTCCGTCGTTGCAGGGCTGAGTCAGTTGGCTGTGCAATCTAGGAACCATCATCCGAATATCAAATAACCTTTTCTGAATATTCCTACCATGACTCGGAGATACAGATTGCCTGAGCAACCGCATGGGGGACATGCCCATTCAGGGGCTGCTCAGGGGCAACCCTCTCTTGGCACAAGCCAACAAGAAAGATGTTTAAATTTCCTACCCTATGAGACGCGCCATGATTAACGCATGTATCTTTCTTCCTTTTTCACAAAAGACAAACTACACAAATGAGCCTACTCCTCCTCTTCCCCTAGTAAACGCCCCCCGTCATCCTCGTCCCAGCAACCTGATCATCCACCCTCCTTCTCTTGTACCTCGCCAGATTCCTCGCCTCCTCTTCCTGCTTCTTCGCCTCCAAAATCTCGTCCACCTTCCTCTTTCGGTTCTCCACCTTTTCACCAACCAGCACCTCGGTGGCCCAGCTCCTGGGCACCCTGTTCGGCGGCACGTCAGGCAGCTTGCCGTACCTGGCCTCCAGCTGGGACTCGGTCAGCTTCTCCGCGCCGTTGAGATATGGCCGGAGCGGCTCCCTGAAGAAGAAGTCCTTGAGCTTTTCCCTAAAGGTGCCTCCTCTGGGAACGGCTCCGTTGAGGCCGATAGCTGTTGTTGTACATTATTAGCTTCACTGCTCATATTTTGTTTGCGACAAAGAAAAGGGGAGCTTTACACTCATAAACCAAAGCAGTCATGTGCTCCTCAACCCTCTTCCTCTGCCAAGCCGTATCCCCCACCGGGAAAACCGCCGGCCCAGCCCTATACTTGACCGGGTCCTCCACATACGGCCTCAGCTTCTCCCTGCTGAAGAACGCGTGGATCGGATCAGCAGCCTGGTGATCAAACACCTGCTTCGGATCGACCCCGTCAGCGTGCCACTCGTCATTCTTGATCTTCTCCTGCGTCTTCTCGCTCTGGAGAACGAGCGGCCACCGGTTGAGACTGAAAAACTGCCTCCTAAAGTTCTCCTGCCTGGCAACCAACGACCCAAACTTCCACGACACCCCCCGGGTGAGGATGACCTCTGGCAAGCCAGTCGACAGATTAATCACCGTTTTGGCCCTGGCAGGCGCAAGGAGGGTGTTGTTCGCGCTGACCTCCTGGATGATCTTGTTGCGGAGGTGCTGGATGGCGGAGGCGTTGTCCTTGAGGTAGCCCCGGTGAGGGATGATGGGGTGGCTGGCAGGGTTGGTGTGCCCGCCCTCGCCAAACTCCGTGTCCTGAACGAGGGCTTTGATGTCCCTCCAGGTGTGTCCGTACGGGGCCGGGGGGTTGGGGCGGGCTCTGAGCTCCTCCTCCACCGTTTCGTCGTAGACGGCGTTGAACTTTTTGATTGCGTCGTGCAGCCAGGCGTATTGGACCGGTTGCTCGTTCCTCACGCTCATGTGGGACTTTTTTCGAGCCGCGGACTTCTTTTGGAGGTGGAAGATGGTGAAACCCAACCGGTAGGCGAGGCTGCGGTAAAAGTTGTCGACTGCGTAGAGGACGCGAGGAGGACTTTTGGTCTTGCCCGAGTAGGGTTCGAGGCACACGTCTGCCCACGGACGGATGCTTCTGGGGAAGAGGGTGTCTCTTTTCTTCTCAGCCGCGTCGTAGACTATCCGGTGCTCGGGATAGAAATCGTAGGCGGGGCGCCGGACTGTGCCGTAGCAGGCTGGGTCGAGCTCAAAGTCAATGTGGCCCGTCTGGGCGAGGCGGTCGAGATGTTGGCAGGCTTCGTACGGCGAGAACTCGTGCTTGTTGACGGCCGCCTTTCCGTTGGCGCCGGCGTTGATGACTTTGAGCAAGTCCTCTACCGTCACAACGCTGGCAGAAGAATAGAGAATCCCTTCCGGGTTGGGATCCTCCAAAAGCCGGAGAATCCTCTTGGCAAAGATGCGGAAGAGACGGTATGTCTCCCTGGGCTCGTCCGGGAAGATCTTGCCCGGCCAGGACTTCTTGTTGACGCAGCCGCTTCCCAGGACCTTGAGCCACCAGATATCCTCTTCGTCGATAAAGCGAATGCCTGCTCGCTGGCGTGTCCCGTCGATGACTGTATGTCTGTAGTCTGACTCGCCAAAGGTAATCTCGCCAATCTTACCCAGCTCCTCGGGCTCAGGGAAGGCATCTGAGCTGGGGTCCCCCGCTGTCAGGAACTGGATCATGTTTGCCAGCAGCGGTCGCGGGGCCCTGTTCCAGCACATGGCGACATAACCACGGATCGCAAGACACCTTTTCAGGAGATCTTCTTCAGCCTGTTCCTGGGGACTCAGTCCTCTCCAGACAAATGGGCCGCCAGTCTTGACATTCTTGGGCAATGAGACCCAAGACCTGTCGCGCAGATGGCGCTCTGTGGCCGTCTGATAAGCCACTGCCTTCATTCCTTTGGTGGCCTCAGTGTACGCCTGGAATCTGTCGGTGAAGCGGAATGGCTCCCAATGGCTCCAAACCAACGGCTTCTCGTCAAAGAGTGTTGGGGGGTTCCATTGCTTCCCGTTAGCTCTCTCCATGACCTTCCGGATGGTGGCGACTGGAATGGGCAACACGAGCCTCCTCGCTCTCTGCCCATTGCTGTCGGAATCATAGTAGACAAAGTCGTTTTCATTAGTTCGAAGATTTCGAAGCATCAACTGCAAACCAGCTCGCCTGACACCCCTCACTGAGGCCCAGTCTTTTGGATCGCTGAGGTCCATCAGGTTCAGCGTTTCTTTCCCGGTTTTGGGGTCCTCTCCGGTTGAGATATATGTGTGTCGTACTCCGGCTTCGTCCGTCCTGTGGGTCGTCCAGCCGATGGGATCACCCGTCTCCCATGTCGCACTGTTTCCTTGGGCCTTGGTGTATTGCACATAAATGTCGGACTCTATCACCGCTAGGTTGTTTTCGAGCTCGTCAGCGGTCACGGAGGTGGGGATTTCCATGTCATTCAGCTTTTCAAGGTCTTCCGAGTACGGGAGCCAGAGCTTTCCTTCATCCTCCAGAAACTGGGCATAATGCTCTGGATGCTCAAGGAGGGCCCCCTGAATGGGCCTTTTCTCTGGCGCTGGCGTGATGTTGTAGGGTAGCAGCTGAGAGTGGTCCGGGACGCCGCGCTTGGAGGGCAATGGAAAGTCACGGGGGTTGGTGAGGTGGTTCAGGCGTGAGGATCTGGTGGCAGCGAAGCTGACTGGCCTCTCGGTAAATGCAACCGGAGTGGCTATGCGTCGTTGCTTGTCGCGCTTCAGATGGGCGTCGATCAACTCAATTGCTTTCTTATAGACAGCCTTTGTGAACTCGCTTGCGTTATGCAGCTGGTTCCGTGCATCCTTCCCGGAACCCAACCACTGAAGATAGTCGATAGTGTCGCTCATTCGCTCCGAAAAGCCAGCGTCATGGCTCTCCCCGTTTTCCAGGTAGGCAACCATCGCCTGGAGATGTGTTGCCAGTGGCTGCTGTTGCTTACCATACTGATCGTAAGACTTGATTGTGGAATTAGCACCAGTCGTGTCCATTGTGATAGGTTTGCTCGCAGGAGCTTCTCCTGAAGGACCTGAAGACATTGCAGAAGGTGGCACCAGATTGATAGGAGTTGTTTCTGCGTTCGAATCACTTGAACCCACGGACTGTTTGGGCTCGAGGCGTCTCGAGCCTCGATTTGCCTGACTCCCGTGCGTCGAAGGAGTCATATAGCTGGTCGTGGCGGAAGTCCCAGGCCTGGAAGACCCGATGCGATATTCCTCCGGAATTGGGTCAAATTCTTTGCCTGTTGGCCCGAAGCCCTCTTCCGGAAACCAGTCGTCGTAGATGTCGTACTTTTCGATTTGTCTGAGAACGCTGCTACCGAAGTTATACTTGGTGAGTTCGGGATTGCGCAGTATCCTGCCACAGTAGGCGAAGAAATCGTTCCACTCATTCACCCACTTCTCGTACTCCTCGCTGCCCTCTGGCGCTCCCGGCGGTGAGGGATCGGGCCAATTCGCGGTGATGTATTCCCTGAAGTACTTGGCAAATTTCGGATGACAGTTATCTTGCTTCACATACTCGTCAAGCACTTGCAGCAGGGAGTAATCGGTATCCCTCCGCCCAGATATGCTATCACCAGACATTGCACCGTCGTCGCCGTCTTGTCCTGTGATGCCAGTGTCGATGCAACGTGCCGGTAATGACTAGCTCGCTCTCCCTTGTCGATCGATGACAGAGCAAGAGGCAGAAAAAGAAAGGTTGGGAAATACAAGAAGGCCCTGGGAGCATATTTGTGTCTTGGTGACAGCGACTGGAATGGCCAGGGGCCAAGTCAACAATGAAACCACTCCAGCAAAGAGCTCGCTGGAAAACCTCCCGTTTTCAGACGCTTCTGGGCGGCGGGACAAAGAAACCCAATGCACTTGTCGAGACTACAAGAGGGATTCGGAAACAAATGTGGGCTGCTCCAAATGCCCCCATTCGGCCAACCGCATTGGTTGCCTTTGTGATGGCAGACAACAAAGAACAGGGGCTGCAACGGATTGGCGAGGTCGACGAGAGGATGAACTACATCACCAACCAAGAGCTCGGCAATCTAGCTTGAGCTGAGGCAAGTAGACAGTTTAATAATCTCGAACCTCTTTTCCCACAAAGTAGGTATCATCAAAACACCAAAGAACAAGATGTCAACAGACGCCCGACAGCCACGACAGTCGGGGCGGAGGCGGCCATCGGCCCTGCGATCACCCGCTGTCAATCAGGATCAGCAGCTCCCGAGAAGACGTTCGTCTGCCATTCGACGAAATATTGAGACGTTTAATCGCAACCGCGCCCACAATGTCAGAAGGGGCTCAGAGCAAGTCCCTCCCACCCCGAGGCGGATGACGACAAGAAGCATGGCAAGAGAGGACACGGAGGACGACGTAGAGCATACTGGGTCGACAATGGCCAACATAGAGATGGACGAGTCCCTAGAGACATGGCAACCATCTCTTGTCATAGGGTCTGCTCTCTGGTTAGAGCACGAAGACCCTACCAAGATCGAAATTGCCGACAGGAAGGTGCTGCAAACCCGTCTGCTTGCAGAGCAATATCAAAACTATCAAAATGTTAGCGCCCTTACCCAGATGTATGAGAAAGCGGTCCAGGAGCGGGCCCAACTAGACGAGAATGACGAAGAAAACACAACACCAATGCACGTATTCAACCTCTCTTATCGTCAGACATATGGTGAAGCTAACATGGCCCAAGATCAAAAATCCCATCTCTTCAAGCCAACGCCATTGCCAACAGGGTTAGCGCTCTCCAGACCGTACTGGCAAGGTCAACATTTGGGCCGGAACGAGCCAACATTGAAGCAGCGATAGCCGGCTACGAGTCCGGCGACATCCCCTATTCCGACAAGTACACGGTAATCTGGGCAGGGCGTATTGCTGACCGCTTCGGTGACTACGAGTCCTTCTCCAACGAAAATCGTGCTGCCCTGCTAGACCGTTATGCTGCAGAGTACGGCCCAGGATGGATCTGGTATGAGCCTTCGCTCTCCAAAGAAACCGACCTGTACAGCGGGCAACCAACGTCACAAGCGAAAGCCGCCATCTGCCTCACCAACAAAGAGAGCTGGCGTACAAGCCGAAATCACAGGAACATCGGCCACTATCGAATCCGGATGGCTTTTAGACGTCGCCAGGAACACGTTTCTCGCCCCTGGTCCAGCTCCGGGCCCAGGTCAGCCAAACACAAGCCCAGAACAGCCCGAAGCTACCTCCGAAGCACCAAAACTGATTTCGACGAAGACCGCTCCAGCGAAGGCGATTACGACGACCCAAACGACTACAAGCCCCGCATGGAGAGCTTCCCTACCGCCAACTCCGTCATCTTCGACACCCTCTTCGACACCGGCGCCACCAACCCCTGCCTCTACTCCGATGACATCCCCCTCCTCGGCATCGACAAACACTACTACTCGGCTCAATCCGCAATCCACATCGCCACAGCAACCGGCACCGAAGTCATCTCCGAGTACGAGCTCGACGTCGCCCTCATCGACTCCGACTTTGCCTTCAACACCTCCATCCGCGTCCCCGAGCACATGTCCTACCCCCTCCAGCCCCCCCGCCCCATGCGCGTCAGCATCTTCCCCAACACCTCCAACGACTTTTCCAAATCCGCCAACGCCGACCCCGGCCGCCTCTCGGGCCTCTTCCCCCTCATAGAAAACTACCTCTCCTCCGCTCCGGGAAACTACAAAGTCTGGCTCGGCTCCTCCCGCCTCGAAGTCCTCGGCACCGCCCGCCTCCCCCCCGAAATGTCCTTCCTCACCACAACCCCAAACACCCGCTCCAAACCCGCCACCTTCCCCGACCCGGCCGCCCTGAAAAAATATCAACACCAACTCCTCCACCACCCCCCCACCCGCGCAATCTTTGAACACAGCTACACAATCCCCACCTCCAAGCTCCCCCTCACCCTCCGCGAAGACGAGTCCTCCACAAAAGGCACAACAATCCTCTCCGGCCCTCTCCCTTCCACAGGCCCCCTCTCAATAAAATACGACCTCGACTCCCCCACCGCCCAGCGAGAACTCTCCAAACTCACCTCCTCCTTCTCCTCCTCCTCCTCCTCCACCTCCTCCTCCTCCTCATCATCATCATCATCAAATATCTTCATCCTAAAAATACCCCCCCATCTCTCCCCAAGGCCAACCGACCCCCCTCCCCCGCAAACACCCGTCCTCACCCGAAAAAGAGCCACACCAGCCTACCACCACCCGATCTGGTCCAACAGGGTCACCACCTTCTCCGACCCCCCTCCCGAACGGAAGCGCAAAAAGGGGAGTGTCCTGGAGCGAATGGACAAGATGGGCCAGACGTGGAGGCAGCAGATGATGCAGGATCAACAAGCGCACTCGTCATCTCAGCAGCCCCCTCCTCCGACGCCATCGCCCAGAACGGTGGTGACAAGTCCCAGGTTGGGAAAGATGTACAATAAAAAGGGGGAGGTGATCGGGTATGTCGAGATGGGGGGCGGAGGTAGTGGCGGGAATGGGGAAGACACCGAGATGGTTGGGTCGTGAAAGAGATTGTTTGGTTTTGTGTTGCAGCAAAAAAGGCGTTTGTTTGAAGATGGGATTGAATGTCGGTAACAGATTTATGCTTGTGCTCAATCTATTGCAAGTAATGTTGTTCGTGGAATGACAAGTGACTATAAAGGGAAAGGAGCAACAACTGTTAAAGGGAAGGGGCAAATAGTTGTGATTAGGAAAGGGCAAACAGAAACGAAAAGGGAAGGAGCAAGCAGGAATGCCAAGGGAAGGAGCAACTCGCCCGAGTCCACACTGAATTGTTTCCTTCACATCATAGCTGGCATACTCAGACTGACAAACAAGACACAAGTCACTGCACAAGAACAGATTGGCCAGAGAATTTTACTTTTTTTTTTTCGACTCATTACATAACTCTACTCGCGGTGTCCTTGCCCGGGGGATGAGCATGGCAAGGCCATTTCGATGGCATTTTTAACGTTGCCAATCTTGACCTCATGTTCCACCACCCCATCCCTTGAATCGCCAGAAGAATCCTCATCATCGAATTACGACGACTCGTTCGTCCCGCCTGGCAGACCATCCGGAGCTGCCGTCCGCAAGCCGAGTATGCATGATGCCTTGGGTAGGGTTGCGCTGATGTGCCAGTGATGAGGGCCATCGCGACTTGGGGGGGCGTTGTTGTTGTGCAATTGTAGTGCTGCGGCTGTGTAGTTGTCCCATCCGTTCCTCCCAGTGATCATCTCCCCATCCCATTGTTTCCCATCGCAAAGGTATCAATCCACTCTCCAACTCAACTTGCAGGTTGTTTGCCAATCTTTGGTGTGCTTCCCATGTGTCTTCAAAAAACTCCTTTTTTCCCTCCGCATCGGCCCATTCCTGAAAGTCCGGTTCGTACTATATGTATGATCCCCTGAACTCTTCCCGATGCGCCCTGGTGCCTGCTCTGCGATGCCCAGTGAAGGGGTCGCCGAGATCCGCACTAATTTTTTTTTCGTATTTGAAGGTTTTATGCTCAAATGATTAAATAAGGTGGCCGCCGAAATATCAGGGGTATGGGTATGGCGCGCGCTCGCAACCGTCGTCGAAATATCGCAGCTGAAAAAAAAAAAAAAGGTAGCTGCGGCCGATGACGACAAATCGGCGGAAAAGCCCGAGAAGAAAAAAAAGTCGAAATTCGCAGAATTCAACGCTGATGCCATGACGCTAAATGTTTCCGTGAAGAGAAAGAAATGCGTGCAATCTTTTGTCTTCCAAATGGTATATCTCAAAATGACCCAGAGAGATAGAGAAAGAGAAAAGTGAAGAAAAAGTTACCCTCTTTGACGTGAATGTCTAGTCAAAGGTGACAGGGACCGAAAGTGATGCGGTCAGAGTGACCGGCACGCAAGTGCTTGCGAATGCAACCGCCTTTCAGTAGGCCATATGGCTTGTTGGGCCCTCAAAGTAAGATGTTCCGGCCATATGTTGTGGTTGTGGTTGTTGTTGTTGTTGTTGCTGTGGGTACGGCTGAACGTGATTCGGTTGGGGTGTTGGGGTGACTGGGCATCTTGGTGGCGCTTGGTAACCCTTGATCATCGCTTGGTTGTGGCCGAAGCAATTACCGTCGGGGGTGATGGGAGGGGTCATGTAACCATCAGCAACGCCGGGCCCAGCGCCGAGTCCCTTGTGTGGGGTGCTGTAGATGTCGGCAGTCTTGGTGGAGAGCGACGTTGGCTCGACAGGGGGAGATGGGGGTCCTCGGCGAGAGATGGCGGCTTGCTGGGCAAGGAAGTCTGCGAGCTTGCCAGAGACCTTGGAGTAGTAGGCGCTCGAGTACTTGCGGGCGAGGGTAACGGATGGTTGATGAAGATGCTGCGAGAGGGTGAGTAGAGTCACGTTCTCGGTGTGGTCCCACTCTCCATCGTTGACCTCGGGCTTGCTGAGGATGGCACGGGCGAGCGCGAGAGAAGCCCGAGCCATAATCGAAGGCTTCGTCGACACAAAATCCCGGTGGTACAAGGCGATCTCGCAAATGTAGGCCGCCATGTGCTCAACCTCTCTGCCGTCACGCTCCTCGGCCACAATCAACTGGGTGAAGAAGTCGACCGTCGGGTGGCC